AACTTCCTCACCATTTTACAACAACCTCAACAGGGGCTCACTTTGAGTAACTCCCTGTGCACTCAGATCTTTACGGCCCGTCTGTCACAGCACAGTGGCGTCAAAGTCATGCTGCTTCAATCAGTCTCCCAGCTCTATTTACCTGTTAGTGTTCCTGCATGTGGCCGTGCTGTCGTTAGAGTTTTATGACCTGCAATCCGCAAAGACGGTGCCAGTCAAGTCAGACCGACTCCTATCTCCTAACTGTGTTTTTATAGAGATCACAGCAGTGAAAAACTTGACCATAAAGTCCTGCATGGGGGGGTTTGCAGGAGGGGGATCTCGTGCTGCAAACATTAAACAAATCACCGACGAGGACAGAGAAGAATTTATGATGGGAAAATGTTCCATGACACAACACACGCAGAGAAATGACATTACACAAGCAAGGTTTGAAACTAGTGGTGGAAACCCTTTTTCATTGATTGGCCTGTGTTTATGCCTGAAAGGAGTGTGTAACTGCAGCGCTGTAGCCCAACCCATGTGAGTGATAGACCTGTCTGTGCATGCCCATTAGACGCAGAGCTGATTAATACACAGGGTTAGGTTCACATGTGAATGACGTATCCATCACATGGCTCAGTTTCGAGGACAGCGGGGCTGAGGGCTCTGACAGGACCTCTGGCCCGCTGCTCTCACGAAGAGCACATAAACAGAGAACATCCGTAAACAGTTTAGAAGACCCGTTTGGACTTTGTTCCATGAGGGAAGAGGGATGAAGAAAGGGGAAGGGGACAGAAAAAAGAGAGAAAGAGAGAGAGAGAGAGAGTGAGGCAGTGCAGCTGATACTCCCTCCATGGCGACCCGGTTGGGAGGAGCAACATCAGGCCGCCTCTGTTCTCCTTTGGGACGTTCTGCCTGTACAAACAAACCGACCCCGGGCCTCTAGTCTAATGGGAACCAGACCTGCTCAAGGACCATATCCCCTCGTTTTCTCCTTCCCTTCTTCTTCTTCTTCTTCTCCTTCTCCCCCCTCCCTGTATGACCAACGCTCCACCGACACACACTTCAGCTGAAGGACGCACTTCAATTATCCCAAACAGACCTGAAAATATTCCCCACTCATTTGCCCGGTTTTCCCACACAGCCACGGTTCATGACGTCTCCGCATCAGAGCTGACCTCTTGGACCCTCAGGCAGCCATACTCCAGTGACACCAACACTTATCTCCACAGACACACTTTCTCTCACTTTCACATGCTTCCTCTATCACTCCTTCCTCTCTCCCACTCTTCCCTCCTCCATGTTTATTTCACACAAAGCTTTCCATTGACTCGTGGATACTCCCATTCTTCCTCTTTAAAAGTTAATTAAAAGTTGTTGTTTTTTTAAAGCGTAAAGCTTGCCAAAGTCAGAAGTTTTACAACCTGGCCCTTTGAGGATGGCGACAAAGGTAGGGCCCCTGTCAAAATGCCAGACTTGACAGCAGAAACAGCCTGAAACAGAAATATTTTTATGCCTTATTCTTATGTCCATGTCAAGTAAATGCTTCTAGTTGCAGGGCTGGCAGGTTTACGCCTTACGTTGTTTCTGATTGGTTTATATTGCGTGGTGCCTTCCATGGTTGGTTAGATTTAGGCACAAAGGACTGATGGATTGGTTATCTGGGTCAGTCAATCAGGGTTACTCGAACTACGGCAAGCCAAGTTTATTATCAGGAAAAAAATAAATACAGTGTTGAATGGGGAAATATTAGCGTGGGAAATGTCGTGTAATGCATGGTGTGAAAATGGGTCAAATTGCATGACTGTCACACTCAAAAGTGTGACTTTTGGCAGCTTTGTAGTTGTATTCACACATTAATGTAGTCTCTGCGATGTCAGTCATTGTGCTGCGTTCCAGTTGTACTCAGAAGTCAGGAGTTTCGAGCCCAAAGTCGGAAATTCAACTGGAACGCCCCCCTGAAGCAACCACTAACAACAACTGACAATGGCTAACAACAGCTGACAATTGAAAACAACAGCTAACAACGGCTAACAGTAGGCGACCATCTTGGTTTTCCAACTTGTTAACTGAAACGCTGTCAACTCTGGTGTAGCGTCATTCCCAGCTCTGACATCCGACTTCCGGGGTAACTGGAACGCAGAGTAAGGAGGGTCTGAAACCAAATGATGCAGTTTTTTAAGTACCCTTCTTCTTGTCTTTCACCTGCCAAAGCATTTGCGATGTTCCCTTTGTGGTTTTTCCGTCTTCAAATGGTCATTTACGGACAGAGAAAATCACCCGCAGTGGGAAACACGAAGTTTATCTACCTTACTGAATTATTGGCCATGGGCGAAGACTGAGCAGCTTTGAGAACATGGTGTTTCTCTAACTTCCTGGCTCATGCTCAGTGCCATCTCTTTATCCAAATATGGTCACTTCAGATGCCAACATGTCAACATCGAAAAAGCTGAATAAAAAAGGAAATACACCAAAGAGTCACTGTACGTTATACTATAACAGTCAGTTTGTATTTTTCGACCCACTTGAACATTCATCACATCGTGTTTTCTGTAACAGTAACAGTCTAATGAGATCTTTGTCAGACTGTGAAAGCATCCCGAATCTGCGGTTCAGAGCAGCGCGCCCCTGCCTACACTGACTGAATGTTCTCATTGTCAGGGTTCAGAGTTTATCAGTGAATGTCCTCCCAGTCTCACTGCTGTCTCTTTCTGAATGTTCTGTTTCACCAAAGTATGAATATTGGCTCGGAGTCAAATGGAGGGGGGGAGAAAAGGCCCTTAAAGGACATGGATCCTCCACATTGACTGCATGTCTGCTGCAGAAGGGGGCTGCTTGTGATCCGGGCCTGGTGACAGCGGGCCTCACAGGCATGTGGTTGTGTTTGAATTGCATCACTTTATCACGAATTCTTTTCCCTTAAAGATAAGTTTGTGATAACATTACATGTTAATGCTTCCTTGTGTTTCTTTTTTTTGCTCTCCAGCTTTGCTCTATACGTGTATGAACTCTAGCTGGAACCAGTGATCAAGTCCCCGTCGCTAAGTGCCTGGAAGTACGGCAGATTTATCGAGGAGAATGGACCGTGTCTGAAGAGTTGGATCGGGTCACAAACGCTTTTCAGCTCTGTCTCCCTCCCACACATCTGGGCTCAAACCCGTCAATGTTCCCCTTCAGCAAAAAGAAAAAAAATCTGTGATGTGCTGAGATGTGTTGCTGCCCAGCTTGCATGTTTTGTTTTTTTTCACATGAAGCCCCTTCATTAGATTTCTGCCTGGTCTTGTGTCCCCCCTCTGGGGCTTCTCTATATTTCTCCTTCTCAGTGGAAGTGCTATGGGCCTTCTGGCAGGGTTTGTGTCTTTGTTCCGTGCATGCCAGGAGTGGCCAAGCCCAGGCGCAGCCCTCTGGAACTGAAGTGATTTTCTGTGGAGTCAGCACAAAGCGAGACCTGCCGGTAACAAACGTGTTGCAACTCACTCACTTCTGTGCTGCCTGAAAGAGGTTAGGAGTGGGAGGTGTGTACGTGATGAGAAAGAAATCAAGTTGAAGTGTGTTTACAACTTGAAGTGCTTGGTCATACTGGACGTGGTGTACTGTATTTGTGATTGCTTTGTGCTTTTGAGAGCGTACTTTTTGTTAGCCTTGTTTGTCGCATGATAGCTTCAGGATACTTTTAATTGGAGCTCTATTGATCCACTGTGGACAGAGCACTAAAATGGACATGGATCAATAAAACAGATAGATGACATTACCTTCAACTCCACTCCACTGTCATTAAACAGCACTGCATCAATTGGACTAATTTTACAACAAAACCAAGAAAGAGACTCAATCCTGCTTGCTTTGATAAAACCAGGTGGGTGTGTCTAAGCGAAGGGGTTGAACCAGGATCAGTTTTTATTTCCACTGATGTCATTTGTTGAAGCTACAGAAGTTCGTCAGGAAGAGACTGACAAACAGTTAAGGTCATTGACCCAATTCAGGGAAAATCCACCAATCAGTGCAGAGGTCCCTGACGTTTAGGATTAATGAATTTCCCCTAATGTGAAGAGGGAACAGGACTGTCTTTGTCCATTACACACCACATCTTTGTCCACCAATGGTTAAATATATAACTGCTTTTGTCATTTGTCATTCGCTCCTTCCGTTTGGCTCTTTTCTTTTCTAATCCGATCCCTTCCTCCACATTGTTCCTCAGCCACGTTGCAGCACTATGGGGCTGGGGAAGCAGAGACACCTGGATGGAGCTACTTTTCCACTGAGACTGTCCCCCCTTTAAAGTTAAAGGGATATTCCAGCATAAAATTAAGTTAGGGTCAAACACACCATAACATCGAGTTAGACAACCCGGCGAGAGATGAATGTTGCCGACCGCTTTCTTCTCTAGTTATACCAACTTTCATAGCGACCGCAGATAGCAATACAGAGAGCCACTTGCTCAACCAAAACGCCACTCTATAGCCACAAATAATGCTCAGAACAGCACCTAACTTCATCAAGAGTACATATAGGGTCTGAGCCATAGTACTAGCCACCAAACATCTTTTTAACTTTGCCAGATTTCTTTAGCAAAGAGACTGAATACAACTCGCCCACTCTGTTCCAGCAGCCGCTTGTTTGTAGGGAGACCTCCATGTGACCTGGGATTTCCACTGCATCCGGAACAACTCTGATTTTCACTGCACACCAATTCCTACCGGATCAATTTGTGGGGGGAATTTTGTGGTGGATTATGGACAGCAGAAATTGAAAGAACTCACAAGAACCTGCGGATTCACGTGCAATCGCAATAACAAGTTGTCTTTAGCCACATAGGCTAACCATGTAACCAGTACATTGAGCCCTTATCTGGCATGCTCCGGTGTCCAAACAAAATAGAACTCTTGCGATCAGCGGCAGAGTCAGATGATCCGCAGTGGAACGGAAAGAAGCTGGTGGAAATTGACACATTAACTTGAGTGGTTACGATCATTTATAATTGGTGGATACGGCCTTTTCGTAGCAGTTCCAGACGCGGTGGACGCGTTGCATTTCCATGAAGATATGATCATAAATGTTCTTCCTTGAGCTGCGTCACCCCACTGTAGTTTGTAATCGACTGGCCTGAGGTATCGCTACAAACAAGTGGCTGCTGGAAGAGAGTGGGTGAGTTGCGTTTAGTCTCTTTGCTAAAGCTAAAAAGCTAAAAATATGTTTGGTGGCTAGTGCTATGGCTTGGACCCTTTATGTACTGTTGATGAAGTTAGGTGCTGTTCTAAGCATTATTTGTGGCGTTTTGGTTAAGCATGTGGCTCTCTGTATTGCTATCCTGCTGTCGTTACTAAGTTGGTATAACTTGTGTGGTGAGATGCCTCCATCTCTATTTTTCTTTGGTAGAACTTCCTTGTGTCTCTGGTCTGGCTTGACTGTTTTTCAGAGCACTTCCCCTCCACCCGGTCGCTGAGGCTGAGAGAGACTCCACACCTGCGCTGCATTGGCAATCACGGCCCTTGAAGAAGCCAGCAGCCCTCAGTCTCAGCGCCTGAGGATTGTCTTCGCTCCTGAGTGGTACAGACGCTTCTCCTGGCCTTCTCCCCAGCTAAGTGCTCGTGACTTTTTGCTCCCTGCGATTCCTTGTATGTCTTCTCACCTCTTTCTCCTCTGCTTCTCCACAGTGTCTCCAGCCCACACAACAGCCAGCCAGCCAGCCAACCAGACTTTCTCTCGTACCTTTTTCCCTGAGTTTGGACATTAAAATCACATCTTTTAACTTGCCATCTGTCTCTGAGTCTGCTTCTGGGTCCGCAAAATACCCCACACGCCACAACTAGAGAACAAGCGGTCAGCAACATTCATCTCTTGATGGGGTGTCTAATTCTGTGTTACGGCGTGTTTGACCCTGACTTAATTTTACGCTGGAATATCCCTTTAAGCTGAAGCCACCGCAGTCATGTGATAAAAATAATGATGATGTGGAATGGCCTGATAGTGAGAAACTAGCAAACGAGGGGGCTCCACACCCCCGAGGCCCCTCGATGCTCTCCCCTCTCTCTTGAATCAAATGTGCAGAGATGTGTGGGACTTTACTCTCACAGGAGGAACTTGAACCCTCTGACTTCCTGCCTGTTGATGAGGTCATCGGTCTCAGAGGGAGGGTCTGTGAAAAAGCCTGCTCAATAACAGCCCACTGACAGCAGGCCACGGCGAGAGAGGGAGGAGGCGCAGAAAGCAGAGATGGGATATGTAGCGAGGGTGGAGGGGAAGGTGACAGGTTGATTTGGGGGAGAAGTGGTCCAGTGCTGTCTCTGATGAGCCTGAGGCGGTGTGCTGAGCACAGCATGTGTGCATGCTATGGAGAGGACTCTGCTCCAAAAAAACAAAAAAAAAAAGAAGAAGAAAAAATTGACAAAGGGGGCGGGGGTGTGAAAGCTACACCGCCAGGAAAATCTAACAAAAATGGCTGAGAATGTTCCCGTCTGACTGAACTTTCTGTTTTTCATTAATTACGTACGTAATTGCAATCCAAGACAGTGTGTAGCTCCAAAATCTGACTCCATATATTAACGTTTGGGTTCAGATAGTGATCAGGATTCCATATGCCACAATACTCTGCTTCGCCCTGAGGCTGGTCTGTTTTATGACCAACAAAATGAGGTCTTCAAAAAGCCAGATGATTGTCTGTTGAGCTTTTTAAACAGCTGTCACAATGAGGTATTTTTGCACAGAAGGGTGGGTCTTATGTTTTTTTTTCCTGTAAGGAATGTATAGCTTGTGGTATCACATGCTGCTCGCTGTCAGCTGGCCGGCCTCTCGCTGGCTCCCGGCTGATGTCAGAGCACCTCTGATTAAAGAGCAGGCTGCCTTTGCTCCCGCTGAAGGTCAGGTTGCTGTGAGGTAAGTTCTTGCTCCTTGAAAGCAGAGGGGCCTGCGCCGCGGTGAGGCTGAGGAGGGGGAGCACCTGGTGCAGCCCTGCCTGAGGCTGCAGCACTTATAGGTAGGGGGGGTTAGGAAACTGGGAAGGAAGGGAGGGGCAGGATGGTGATCGCACATACAAAGCCATCTTGTTTCAGGCCGAGCTGCTCTGTTGCCAAGCGTCCAGAGCCCTATATCCTGCCGCTCAGTGAAAGAGCCAGTCTTCAAACAAGCTGTATGAACAAAGAGCCATACAGCAGCCTTTCTGCACACACACTCACTCACTGTATTTCACACTGTATCGCCCTTCATCTCTGACCTCCCTTTGCCACCCTCATTCAGCTCAGAGTATTTCTCAAGAGGTCAATCCCTAACTCCCATAAAACAATGCAATTAAGTCATTCTGTGTAAAACACACACAGCCTGGTCAAAACACACACAGTCACCCTCCAGTCATCGCAGCAGCAGCATCATAACGCCTTCCAGATGTGGAGATACTGTACTCTCCAGCATTAGCAAACGATGGAGGTCAGTGCCCCACTCTCATGGTGCTAATGGTGCCCAGGAGGCCTCCGACGGGGGAAGGGTGGGGTAGGCCGGTCGGTGGAGGGGGGTCATGAGACCTTTGAAGCTCCTGCTGAGCCTACGAAAAGACACCGGCATCCTTTCCCTTTCACGGGGTAATCGCTGATCTGTCTTCTCTTTGCGCCGATCAGCGGGGTTTCAGATGAAAAGCAGCATGAGGAACACGGGCGTGGTTTCTAAAGACATCCTGGTAACGTTTGAAAACAGGATAGCAAAGTCCTCCACAGCTGCTGATAAATACAATAAGGTTTCGTTTATCTTCATTATGCGGCTGGGTATCTTGTTACAGCTGCTCCTTAACAACTTATTACAAATTCTTTCTTTCTCTCTTAGCTTACTGTAAGAGCTTCAATCTTAAAAGATCAATATCAGCTCTCAGGGGTTAGCTTGTGTTACCATCTTCCCTCTTTCCCCTCCCTGTGACCCTCACTAAATGATCTCATGCCATGTCTCAGATTTATGTTCTTAGCTGTTCTCTATTAATCTGTTGAAGACCAATCATTACGACTCTATATGTTTCTCGATATGGAGCAGACAGCCACAGTCCCTCTGGGCGTGATTTTTTTAAATGCTAATCTCATCTTTAAAGCCGGGGAAGGAGCTCATGTGGCTGCTGTAGAAACGGAAACCTATTTATGCTTATATTTTATGGAGTTTTGTGGTGGTTGGATGATGAAATGCAACGATCTATGACGGGACTGCTGCCAAAGATGGTTTTTGGGGTTTTCCAGTTATTTCGGCACCTTACAGCATCACAAAGAAAAAAACCGTGAGGATATATTAGCGTGGCTAAAGCGAAGGGACACAAAGGGAAACTACACCACAACATTTTGGCCATGCCAGTGGATCCACCCAAGGCCACGGGTGAGCCCCAGACTCCGACCCAAAGCCGAGAGAGCGTGCACCAGGGAAGAGTAGGAAAAAAGCTCCAGGCTCAGGAGCTCTGTGAGAAAGTGTCCATCTGCAGTGCACGTTGGAGACAGCCCAAAACAAACAAGTTAAAATTAAACCACAGAGAGACAGCCAATCTCCGTATTTAAAGTTCCTACAAACAGAGGATTACCCTGTTACCATTTCAAAGCTCTGAGAAATTGTCAGTTTTGTGGTTTGTCCCACCACAACACAACCAATAATGTCTGTAACAGCTACACCGCTGGCAGAGCTCAGCTGTTCGCCACATAACGAAGGAAGAAAGTGAAAAAAATGTGGAAGAAAATGTCTAGAAATAGCAGCAGGTGCGTTTAAGAAAGCTGTTTTAGTCAGGATGGGTTGACCACTATCTTCTTCTTGTGTAGTCTGACATAGAAAATGTTAATTTTGAAAGAAAACTAAAGGTTTTCAGACAACTCTGAATGGTTGTACTCATTTATGCTGAACACTGTAAAGGTCTCTTAACAAAGTCCAATATAACTCATATTTGTGAGGTATGCCTCAGGGGGAAAGAGCAGTACAGGACATACATGCTGGGCTTTAAATGGGAATATTAGAGATATATGGCAGGGAGAGTCACGACTGAAATGCTGCTTTGTTCATCCTTCCCGTCAGCGAAGCCGCTTCTGTGACACAAGTAATGATGATTACAATCCTCCGTTTGTGAAGCTTTTGTTTTCAAAAACATCCATTTATATGAAATATTCCTGCACAAACACTTTCTTTCTTATCTGTCAAATGGTGTTTTTCCTTCAGCCAGATAAAAACTTGTATGCTATAGTTCATTTATTGTGCACTACAGTAGAAACACGGTGGTTATACAGTAGATGGCCTCCTTTGTGGAAGGGTTATCGTTCCTTTAAACAGATCATTTGAAGGTTTAATGTTTATTAGGATCCCCGTCAGCTTTTGTCAAGACAAAGCTAGTCTTCCTGGGGTCCAACACAAAAAATAAAAACATTACATAAACATTCATTCCATGATTATACAATCACTCATCTTCAAAACAATTCAATAAAAATAGGAAAAAAGAACAGGATCATATACAATACATGAGTTTAGTGCCTCTGTGGATGAGTACAGACTTATTCTCCTCAACTGTTGTTTGAAGTTTTTCTTGAAAACAGATTTAGTGTTTTTTTTTTGTTTTGTTTGTTTTTTTAAATATAATTAGGCATTGAGTTTCATCCTGTAATGGCTCTATAGGTAAAGGTAGATTTAGGTCGCTCTGTTCTTGGTTTAGATGGTTCAGTGTATCCAGAGTTGGCCTGTCTAGTCATGTAGTAATTTACATTTTGTGTATATTTAACTTGATCATATAAATGCTGTGGTCTCAAAAGGTAACAAAATCACAGTGAGTTGCTATCAGGAATCCAAAAATAGTACTAAAAGAGAATAAATACAAAAATAGTCTGAAGAGCAGTTCAGATAAATCAGTGTGATCAGTCAAAGACTGCAGGAGCTTCACTTGTAACAGTGAGACGGCACCACAGAGGGATGTGACATTTCATGAGATCTGCCTTTGAATCACATTTCCTGTTCTGTGTGTGTTCAAAGGTTGCCTCGACACAGAAGTGGTTAGTATTTCAGCAGTTTTTGATGACAAATAAAAAAATAAAAACAGGCAGTAACAGTAAAGCTTTTTACATGTGACCTTCTCCACTGCACGCCATTAATAATGATCAGTCAAATCAAATCAGACTAACGGGGATCCCACTGCTCAACTTAGCAGGCTTCGACTTTGCTAATTGGGTTTCACCAGAGGCTTTGTTATGGCCTCAGAGTGAGGCTATGTGGTCTCTGTGGTTGCCAATGCTGAGGTTTCCAAAATCCATATGATACCCTGCTGTTTCCTGTAGCCCCCCTTCTTCTCCTTTACCCACAGCCTTGTCTGCCCCACAGATCTCTGCCCCAATTTGTACACAGACTTTTGATGCCAGATTTGACACTGTGGTTCCATCTAGTGGCGATTCATAGACATCAAACGCTGCCAGTTCTGCAAAAGTGCTGCAAAACAAAAAGACACGTTCATTCTTATTTGAGACTTAAATGATGAAAATTTTAAGTCTTACAAGTTTTGTTTTTTTGTAGTTTTTCGTGCTTTGATTTGCTTTAGGATCACTTTTTGGAATCAACACAAGGGGGAGGTAGAGATCAGGGACTTTCATGCAGTAGTAGGTGAAGTTCCTGAGAGCTGTCACATAAAAACACCCCTTAGGATTTTATTTCACAAACAGATGTGATCAGCATGAATCTGGGAAAAAGGTCTGGATAACTGTTCCACCGAGCAATCGCACCCGGATGATGTAGGAGGGGTCTCTGCCGTTCATCTGGAAAAATATGTACAAGTTTATTACTCCCCGAAATGCTTGACATCATCTTCCTAAGCCCCACACAGAGCCAGGTTTCTCACTCTGTATTTCACAAACAGATTAAAGCGAGGCTGTTGCAAATCCAAAAGATTAACGTTGATCTTTTCCCAGTTTTTGTAAAATTTAAAAAAAGATGGATTAAGAAGTAAACTAAAACATGGTTTTTGTCTTTTCCCCACCATGTAGCCCCTAATCATACCCATATGGCAATGATGTCAGTGCTTTATGTTGCAGACCAATGAGCCTCCCTTGGGACCTAAGACCCTCCCTATGTTGATGGACCTGAAACCTCCTGTCAGAAAACATCTGTGCTGTTCAAGTGATATTAGCCAGGGACAGTGTCAGGGGGGCTCTTGGTGCTTCTGAAATAGCGTTACCGGAGAAAGAAAGGCCAAATAACACTGATTTCCTTTTAAAAACAGGTCAAATGATTCATGGTTTTCTGTGGAAACGGGCATCATTGCATAAAAGTGAATCCTGAATCCTCTTTATCTTTCCCAAACTTGCACAGTTGTCTTTTCAGAGGCTTTTGTTGCAGATCCTCTGACTCATCCTCCCCCACAAGCTTGAAGTTTCTGGATGAATCTGACTGTTGTCTGTACGCAAAAAAAGGAGTGGATGGGGGGGAGATTGTTCTTGGAGAGGCCTTCTCCTGTGACTCAGCTGGACAGGAGTGAGCCTCATTTCACTCAACAGGACAACAAAACAAAGTAATCACTATGAAAAGGAGACTCAATAGCCCCCGAGGACTTACACTCCTTCATTTCCAACTGAAGGGGGCTGTTGCATTTAAAAAGAGGATGGTGGAAAGGAGCACACAGAAAGCACAGCCGTGGAAAGGAAGGGGTGGGATCAATCAAGAAAGAAAAAAGGAGAAAGCTTAAGTCAAGGGAAGGATTTGAGCCAACGATTGCTGTGGCGCTACACAATGTTAGTGACCTGAATCTTCTTCAGGAACGCCCAATCTACAAGAAATGTTATCCTGTTCGTACGCAGAGGTGAAGGAGATGGGAACAAGTGAAACAATATCACAGCGGGTTTATTGGAAATTAACAGATATATTGCAATTAGGAACTGGCAGACAGAGAGGACAGGGGGTGTGGAGTCCAGTGAGCACAACAAAAGGTCATCAGATAAGAAATTCAGGCAGGAAAATCGACTTCCAGTCTCTGGCAGCACCCTCACACTGATTTTAAACACTCCAGTTTTACATCTTTTGTTTACTCCATTCAATTGTCTGCTGCTGTAAACCGGAAATTCCTTGTTTTTTATCTGATTTCTGTTGACAATACACTTACCCCATTTCTATTACTAATTATTTTATCATATGCCACTCTTTTGAAAGTTTACTGACAGATAAAAACACACAGGAAAGCTGCATGTGTGAACACAAACACCTCTGCTCTATTTTTTAAACAACTCTCTGGAGTGATATCTGAGTAGTGTTGAAGGAATGCAGGAGAAAATATTCAGCAGATTTTCTGTGTAGTTAAAAAAAAAATACAAATGTAGTGCAAATCAATAGCAGAGGCTGCCAGTTTGCAAGTTTTGAGGTCACAAAAAGGGATGAGCGTACCATAGAAGTAAGGGGAGCCTTTTTTATTCTCCAATATGAAAGTTTTCTTTTTGAATAAAGGTGTCTCCGTACACAAATAACACTCTCAACACAGAATCGGTCATTTTATGAGACCTGAACAGTGATTTTTACAGCATGATAGTAAGCTGTTGTTCACTGTGCTTATTTTTCTCTCCTCATTATTACCTGACCGTGTTAAATACTTGATTCTGATTGGTCAGAATCAAAAGGCTGCTTAATTAACAGATCGCAGACATCATATCAAATCCCTTAAATTCAACATTTGGTTTATGATGCCAGTAATCCTCGTGGCTATGAGTCAATATTTTAACCTTTTGATAACATTAGTAAAGGATGTATTTAATCTTGCTCCATTTTTCTCATCTAAGAAAAACAGGCGCCGGTCTGTGGTGACCCGATAGTTCTCCTGTTCCTGTCCCCTCCCCGTATATATCTGTCTACTGTATGTTTCTTGGAAAGGATGAACTGTTAATCGGGAATTTCCTCTTGTGGGACTAATAAAGGAGAACCTTATCTTATCTTAAAAGTTCGGAGTGGTTGTCAATGGCTGACCAGTCCTCAGTGGAGAAAAACTGATAAGAGGGGGGAAAACTACGCGAGGTGTTAAAAAACACAAGAAGCCGAGTGACAGATGGAAACCAAACTGTAAAGACCAATGATGGACATCCACAAAGTGGCATGGGCTTCAGTAATGCATTCAACGACGGACAAAGCTCTTTAACGTGAAGAGAATCTTGAGTTTAGTGTTATTTATAACAATAAAGCCGGCCAATATTCAGGCTAAAACTGAAGGTCAAATTTAGAGTTGATTGGATCTTTAAACAAACTGATAAAAATACAGCGACAGAAGCATAACCGTCAAACCTGAAGATAGTTTATTAGCTGCATAAAAAAGTCACTTTTAAATAAACAAAACCGTCTAGTAAAATGGAAAGTAGGAGTGAGAGGTTACTGGAAATCGAGTCATTTCTCAGGCACTGCTCAGGTCTGCCTTGAGGTCCGGTAATTAGATTTAGTTATGAAGTGCCAATCATATCAAAAGCAAAAAGATAATCTAGACTTTTCTGTTTTGTTTTCTATCATTACTTGTGCAAGAATCTGAGTACAGCAGAGAGCTTCACCTTGGACAGGCAGACATCCTTAAGCAGTAACTTCAATTTTTGCTGAGCAGCCATCTGCCAAGACAGAGAGATACCAGGAATTTATGGACGGATAAACAACAACAAAAGCAGCAGCAGAGTAATGTTTGAGCAGTGTATTTATAGAAATATAGTAACGATACCATCCTCACGTTTGAAGTCAGATAAGAGTGATTAAGGGGGTCAGCATCTGGAATTTTCCTGCATCTTTGGACTCTTTCCATGAAATCAGATATACCGAACACTTTCACAGCGTTCTTCCCATGAGCACAATCGTACACATTCCAGACCTGTGCAGGGTTTAATGATCGAGGAAAGAGTCAGTCCTTGGCAGGGGGATCTGCCTTGCACAATGTTTTGGTATGTAGCCCTCTCAAAGATGGGGATTATGTGCTGTGTGAGGTCTGCATAGAAATCAGGGAGAGTGAGTTGTCAGTAACTTCGAATTTAATCTTAATCCAAAGTACAACTTTTGGGTCAGCATTTTGGATCTAGGAGCAAACTTCAGATTTCCTCAGAAGCTCCTCAGCGTAATGATAAAGTTCATGGTGAGTCATTACAGATGAGAAAGAAACCCTTTTTTCAGACTAGATGAATGAGCCAGATCTTTGCAATTTGACCCGTCATTCAGTTTTCTAAGCTGTTAACATAAAAAAGACGTCATTTGGATAACAGAGCAATATTTCCTTTGTAATGAAATCCATTACAGGAATCGATATGGATCCTGTCCAGCCACTGACACTGGCATCTTTTCTCTTGAACAAGACAAAGGCAGACGCTTCAAAATGCCAACAGAGACACAAGGAATGTGTGGACACAGAAGGATCTCTGTTGGACTCATGCATTTTCAATGATCATGTTACAGTAAGCTTGGTTTCGGTTTGTAAACGGACAACACTTACACTGTTGTACTGGGAATGTTCCCCATGTTATAAGTGTTTTTTTTACCAGTTGAACGTAAAAAGAAAGAAACTCAGATTCAGAGAGGGTGAGAAAAAAAGCATCTGGACACCAAAGCTGACGCAGGTTTTAACTCTGACAGTACAAGGTCACACTTTGAGTCATTTATCACTGGATGTGCTAACAGCCTTTTTACATAACATCATGTGTTTTCCTGGCTGCTGCAGGAGAAAGGTTTTCAGTGACTACCTCAACAGAAAATTAAGTTTAATCATTTCCACAATCATTTTCTCTTTTCTTCTGATGTCTGCCGGGAATTTCCATTATATGACTTCCCCTTTTAGTTGAATAGCAGGATGCTGAGTGGAGACAATGAAGATAACTATCATCTGTATAAAGATCAATGACCTTTTCTATTTCAAGAGCGGAGAAATTTATTAAAACGGTGTGTCCGAGACTCCTGTAAAGTAGTATCTCTTATGTATGAACAAATGTAAAGCAACCAGCTATGGAAAAAAAAAGGCCTCCCATCGTTTAAGCCCCCCTTTATCATGAGGTAACCTTCCTGCATTTTCTCACACCATTAGTTTTCCCGAGACTGTGTAAACATCTGCAGATAACATGAGCTGGAAATTCTCTCAAAGGCAGTATGAGATGGGATGGCATGCACGGGAAATGGTGGTGAGCAACAAATCGGCCGTGATCATACTTGATAACATTATGAGTCAAACACACTTTCGAAAGTTTTTTTTTCAGTTTGGCTGTGCTCCTTGTTTTCAGTTCCTATTACAATGTTGCTTGGAAACACTGACCCCCTTGATAAGAGATTAAAGCTTTACTACTGGCAGGTCACCAATGACAATCTAATAACATTCAATAGAAACCCTTTGAGACTTCTCTGACTGCCTGCACGAACCTCCTGCAGTGGGACTGGAGACTGAGGACTAGTGCATGTTTTTTTTCATTCTTTTTTTTGTGAATAGGGAGTGTTTCAGCGACATGACTGGAATCTCAACGCTTGTTGTTTTAACTAAAGCCCCCTGTTTGTCTCTTAGGGCCTCCCTCATAGCCTATCTCCTGCTCCCATCTCCTTCTGCTCCCAGTTGATGGACTGCTAAAAAAAACCTTTGACCCTGGCTGGATTAGAGATGGCTTACTGTGGGCAATCTGTTTATTCTCATCATTCCCACTTTCCATATTCAAACTACAAATATTATTCTCTGCTTAGGGAGGACTCCATCTCCCACTCTGTGCCCTCCTACAAAGCTTTTTAATTTGTGATGGTAAGAGGTGCATCTCCCACGAATCATGTCACAAGCTTAAGGTGATTCGTCATCGGCACCACTCCAGCAATGTCAGCAATGCATGACGGGAAAATGTTCCCTATTTCAAGGAACTCACATCATGCATATCCTGGAAAGTCCTGCACTCCTGAAACCTTTAAAAACAGGATGTGACTATAAGCTGTGTACTGTGGAAATTCCAAAGGCATGTAACTATCTTCCTGATAGTAAAAGATGTCGCCTCTGAAGAACATCATTTTAGGAGAGTGATAAGTTTATTCGATTAAAAAGGAAAGCATTTAAAGCTCTCTAAGACAGAGGTTTTTGGATTTCAGTTTTAATTTTTTTTGCACTTTCTTTAATTTTTATATCTCAAGACTGTTAAAGCTTCCGAGCCGAACTTTGTTTGTGATGATTCTGGTGCCCCCTCTGGACAACATGAGAACCCCTATATTTTTTCAGACAAAATACCACATCTTGCTTGCAAACATATCAAAACTGTCTCAGAAAAAATTTCAGTCTTACTGCTGAATGTCTTTTCTGCTTTTGCGGGACATAAAAAAACATTTAAAGTCTTTTAGAAGTTTTTGGATTTCAGTTTTATTTTATTTATCTATTTTTTTGTGCTTTCTTTAATTTTATATATCTCAAGACTGTTAAAGCTTCTGAGAGGAACTTTGTTTGTGTTGATTCTGGTGCCCCCTCTGGACAACATGAGAACCCCATAAATCTCTTCCGACAAATTACTACATCTTGCTTGCAAACGTATCAAAACTGTCTCAGAAAATATTTCAGTCTTACTGCTGAATGTCTATTCTGTTTTTGTGGGACATAAAGACTCACCACCATTATTTGCACTTTGATTCCTTGCAGGAGTTTTAAAACAGTCACCTTGTCTTGCTGTCCTTCGGGTTTTTATTGTGTCTTTAACACCCAAATACTTCTGATAATCCCTAATATGTATCACTGTTGTGACAGAACATTCTTATGTTAGCCTCTTATCTCATTTCTGAAACATGATCAAACCAGAAAAACCTATCCAAAAGCGATAAGAGTGTGGTTGTATCTCTGGTGTCAAAACATGCAGTCTAAAATATGCAAACATGGTGCTGGTAGAGCTGCAAACGCTCAGTCTGTCTAGAACTGTGGGTGTGTGGGTGTTAATCTATGCGCTGGTGACCTTAACAAGTGTGGGCAAAATGAAGCTTCGGAGAGCGCTTTCAGAACATTTTTGACAGCTCTGCCTGATTTAGAAAAGGATATCCAAAGCATCAAAATCAAGATTAAGGTGAATATGGTAAAACAACTTAAATATTAAAAAGCGAAATCACTCAAGTAAGGTACAGATAGAGTCACCTTAAAGCTGCTGTGATAAACTTTTGGTTTATGTTGATTTTGGCGCCCCCTGTGAACAATATGATACCTCCTATCTCTAGTTTTGTGCACATTAAGTAGTGCTCTCAGACTTAAATCCCATCCTGTTCTCTTTGAAAAGTAGAAGGTTTCACTTTTTGTAAATAATTTGGCCTGACATCTTCCCCCTCACTGTAGTTAGTTTCAAGCTAGTAGGCTATAAATAGAAAAAAATTCCTTCACACAGCCTATGGGCGTACAAAGATTGCGTAGATCATCCCGGGGATATGCTGTTTGAGCCGAGCGTTATCACAGTGATTCTCCCGCTGAGTGTTACTTCGCAAACACTGGTTTCAGGTAATGGGGAAAATTCCAGGAATTACTGGGAGCCTTTTGGTTTCAATTTGTACAATGACAGGATGCTGAGTCAAGTTGTCCAGACAGTCTATGGACTATAGATCCAAAAAAGTTGACAAATATCATTATTATTTATTGAATGGCACCGATGTTCCTTCTGTCTATAATTTGACCAAAAAAAAAAAAGTTTTAAAAATCTGAACCACTCAGTCATTATAAAATATAACATCTGAAAGAGATTGTTTATTTGATCAGATAAGGTAACCAAAGCTCCAAAGTCTAACATGAATATGTAACTAATCATTAACACTGAAACAAAGACCTTATATAAACATATATACATCCATACCTATATGCACGTATACCAATATACACTTATATATATATATATATCCCTAGAATACTTCAAATCTCTCAATTGTACCATATATAGGTACCGTATATAGGTTGTAAATTCATTTTGTATGTATTTCCCCAGACTTCTATGCAATAAGTCAGATATGGTAATGTAAGCGTATTGATAATAGGTATAAAGTTTGATGGTTTAATATGTCTTGTCCTACCAAAAATGCCAAACATAGAGACCTACAGTATATAACATAGCATAGAGGCCTATAACATGAGGCTGTGAGGCCCCGCCTGATTTATGACTATCAGAAATATCCAGCACACAAGAAAGAGAGTGTGTGGGACGGAGAGAGACAAAGCAAGCAGAGAGAGAGAGAGAGGGAGGGCAAGAGAGAGAGAGAGAGAGAGAGATGTGGAGAGCATGTGCACCAGTGTGTTGTGTGTTGGCTGTACTTCTCGCGTCTCTCTCCTCTGAATGCACGTCTTTGGTTTCCCTCAGATAAGGACAGCGCAGCAGTGAAGCCGAGCAGAGCTGGAGTAAGAGACAGAAGACACATTGTTCTGATCAGATGAACAAACAAATCAAATGAGTCAGAGCACATCTTTCGTTCTTCTCTTCGTGGGGTTACTCCTCAGCGCAGCAGGTATGTACTTCTCACTCTCTCTTTTTTTGCCTTATTCATTTCTTTTTACTTTTTTTTTTTATATATAATGCACATTTTTCCTTATTTTTTTCCTCAGTGAAGTTATAAAGTAACCATACAGTTTTGGTTAGATATGAGAGTTTCCATCGGCTGCATAAGCTCTCACTTTTACAAGCAAACATATGGTTCTCACTGACTTTGAAATAGCGGCAGATACAACTGTCAGATGGGAATTAAAGATGCAGAACTTTGTTTTTACCAGAAGAAAGCAGAGCAACATAAGCAGACAAAGGGACAGCTTACCTAGCATGTAAAAACTGTCTGGATGACCAGGACATCAAGAACTTACGTAGAAAAAAGTCTCTCAATTATATATTTGTGAGTCTTAATGGTTAATATTTCTCAGTCAATGGCAAAATTGGTATTTTAAAAAATCATTTGGTTATTGTGCGGTGTAGACTCAACATGATCAGTTTTTAATCTTCCCTGATTATTTCTTATTTATGAAATAACTGTGTCTAAATGTTCACTTTGGTGTAAAACAGAAGTAGCCAATCACATTTGTAAAAAAGTATTTGATACGTGTTAAAACATTGTCAAAAACATTGACCTGGTTTTCACTTTTTTCACTTTTGTGAAAGTAAAGCATTTTGAAGAAGTGAAAGACTTCTGTGGCTGTAGTGGGAACAGTTTGGTGACAGGACACACATCAGCAAATGTGAAGGACACAGAGTGTTATCCAATCATTGAACTCTGTGTACTGCTAAGCGTATGTGCATCACTATAAACTATCTAAATTGAATAGAAAATACGGTTTGGTGTGGCATGTTCAGCAAACTGCTTAATCTGTTTCAGCAGCTATTGAAGTTTTGCAGGATTATTCTCTTAAATTGACTTTTTCAGCTTTTAGACAAACAAAGGATTGTAAATACTGTCACAGCCAAACTCATGTGGGAGGCAGCAGATGAGTTAGCACCACTTTTTTTACTCTTCAATAAGGCAGATGTAAGGAAATGTTTCCTTATATTCCTATCGTATAGGTTCACATGCCTCCTGCCCCCTCGAGTTGAGACCTCCCAGTGTTGTGGTCAAATATGGAGACCCAATCTCAATCAACTGCAGCACAACGGAGACCGCGTTCGAATCAATTGGTTGGGAGGCACCAAAAGGAGGCAAAAATCAACAAAAGGTCAACCATCTGATCTGGAGTTTGAAGAGCTTGACAAACTGGTCTATCTCACCGTCCTGCTACTTTAATGGAGAGAGTGGTGAACAGTGCGAAAAAACCCCGGACATAGTTGTTTACAGTAAGTTTTATAAATATATTTTAAACTAACACTGATTCATAATTAAGTCTGTCTAATGACATCTACTTTTTCTTCAGCTTTCCCAGAAACCATCAGTATCAGCTCTGAGAGTGACAGGGTGAGAGAATCAGAGAAACTTAACATCACATGTGACGTCCCCAACATAGCACCTGTTCAAAATCTTACTGTGAAGTGGTACAAAGACGATACGTTTCTACTGACAAGGACTTTTGATGGTTCGGAGAGAGAACCAGTGGCTCAGTCATCAATCCTCAGTTTTGAAGCAAAGAGACAAGACAATGGAGCCACTTTCAGATGTGAGGCCCATTTGGACCTGGGCCTAGAGGAGCTACAACTTAATGTGTCTTCACAAGAGTACAATATCAATGTTCTCTGTAAGTATAGGCCTATCACATGATATATGTACTTTTTCGAATGTCTCAAAGCGCACATTGAAGTTCCTATGAAGGGTGGGTTTAAGGGTCCATTGTGTCTCAAAACACAGATTCAACTAAAGAGATTCTCAGCTTCTTCACTGTGAATCTTGTTCCCTCTCTTGCTGCATCAGCTAACACTCACAAAACAAGACTTTCCATAATGAAACACTGAGATTTTGAACTTCTATTCATATTTCAAATATTATAATGCATTTTAAGTTAGTTCCTGTTTCAGTATTTTTTCATCCCTTGGTCTTGATTTTTTTCTATTGTTTCTGTTTTGCTTGCCTTGTTTAGTTGGACCGGAGGTACAATGTGCTACTAAAGAGTTTTTGGAAGGGCAAACTTTAGCAGAGACCTGCTTGGTTACAGGAAATCCTGTCCCTACGGTCACATGGCTGAAAAATGGACAGCCAACGGACCCCACCGCCCCCCTAAGCCGAGAGGACGCAGGGCAGTATGAAATCGAAGCTGAGGGCGCTCAACTGATCAGGGAGAAACTCGAGGTTCTTGTCTCATGTGAGTGGCAAATCCAGATGTTTTGGTACATTTTTTCAACATATTCATCACATATACTTTATAATTTGGGGTAGTTTGATGTATTATACATATTAATTTATATATTAATTAAAGGTGACATTAACGCAAAATTGCAAAGGTTCAGAAAAAGTAGAAGTAAGCCAAAATAGTGCAAAGTGTGTTTAAAACAACTTAAAGTTCTTGTAAGGAACTCCCTGTCTGTGTTGATTTTGGAGCCCCCCTGTGGACAAAGTACTAACCCTTAAATCCTTACAGATTTTGTCCTTTCCTTGTACTTATTGGTTAATTTAATTTAATTTTGCTTCTAGATGGGCCAGAGCTGTCATGTCCAAGCACTTACACTGCACAGGAGCATTCTCCTCACAACCTCACCTGCACCGTTGAAGGCTATCCTCAACCTAATACCACCTGGTATAAAGATGGTGAGGAGGTGGAACTTCCAAAGTACCTAACAAGAAGTGACGCAGGACAATACATCATCACAGCCTCAAACAACCTTTTAACCGTCAACCTCTCATTGGATATCACTGTCTTATGTGAGTTTTATTATGAATCAATATGTTACATTAGTGGATTTTCTTTTACTCTGACTTATATCCTTCAAATGGTTGCCTTGTAGACCCACCATCACCGATTGTTGAGCTTGAAGACTCTGAAGTTGAAGTTGGCTCTACTGTGCGGTTGAAGTGCTCCTCCACTGGCAAACCAAGACCAAAGTATTCCTGGGATTATTACCGTACTGACAACGTGGAGGAGAACAATGAAGACGGAGTGTCTTATCTGCTCATCACCAATTCCTCTACGCACAATATGGGCCTGTACAAATGTCATGCTTGGAATGACATGGGAAATGTCTCAGCAACAGCCAGAGTCACGGTAAAAGGTAGGGGAAATATCTAGCAACCACAAAGATTAAGAACACGGTTGATATTTTACCTGAAAATATTGATTGTGTGGGCAAAATCAAAGCAGCCATAGAAGTATGACCTGATTAGGGTTTACATCATGAAGCTCCAAGTATAGTTTGCCAGTGTGATTATTCTGGACCAGAAGTGACAGTAATTCAGTGTGAAGATGGATACTGTGAATGATATACAATCCAAGGATAGATCCTGTTAGGTCAAGAAAGAATTCTGGTTTGCCAAAATGCCAGTAAAGACTCTAAGTACTGGGTTAAAGTGAGGGGTACGGATGCCAACTGCCCAGCCACAAGTCCCTGCTTTGCTCACAGATAGCATTATGATGATGACATGGTTTTAACTTAGTTTTCAGGGCTTAAAGGAAAGATTTTTTAAATACAAATGAAAGGCCATGAATTGAAAAATCATGATAGAAAGAGTCTAACCTTGTTTAGAGTCATGTCAAGAATTTACGGATGTCACAGAGGATTTTTTGGACCCCTTTGCAAAATTGTGGGTAAAACTGAGTGGCAACACATTATCAAGTTTTTACAAATATTATTACTGAAAGGTAGGGGGATCTTTTTATGCCTTTATGGGAATGGGCAGAACAGTGGATAGATAGAGCAGGAGTATGGATAGAGTGGTGAGTGATGTGCTTGCTAAAGCCTCAATGCGCCTACATGGGCTGCTTAAGCTGCTCAGCCAATGGAACCCCAGTTTTCAGGTTTAGGGATACTTACTTGCTGTGTGCTCCAAAGGTCAAACATTAAGTTGAGCTGTGCACATCAGCTCAGGAATTCTCCTTGCATTAGGCTTTTGGTGTACTTCCAGGTTGCAAAGTTTGGTCAGCCATAACTTCTAGTAATCATTAAATATCATGAAGATAGGCAGTGGGGGTTTCCCCTCATTGGCTATTAGCATCCTGATGTTAGCATGTTTAGCATCAGAATTACTGAAGGCTCTTTAAGGGATATTCCAGCATTAAACATTAATTTAGGGTCAAACACACCGTAGCACTGAGTTAGACACCCCCTCAAGAGATGAATGTCGCAGACGGCTTGCTTCTCTAGTTATGGCAACTTCAGTAACTACCGCATGATAGCAATACACAGCAGTCTGAGGAGCCATACACAAACCTCAACCAAAACGCCACTCTATTACCACAAATAATGCTCAGAACAGCACCTGACTTCATCAACAGTACATACCGAGTCCTAGCCACAGCACTAGCCACCAAACATCTTTTTAACTTTTTAACTAAAGAGACTAAACACAACTCACCTACTATCTTCCAGCAGCCGCTTGTTTGTAGGCCCGTCCATTATGGACTGCTGCGGGTTGACGCCATAGACTGTATATAAGATGGACAACCTGGTTCCGCCTTCCGCCTGTATACGGATTTGAAGCCAAAAAGCTCTCGGTAATTCCGGGTTTTTCTCCGCTTCCTTGAAACCAGAGCTGCGCAGTAGCGCGCATTCGGCCGCGCAGTCGCCGAGAGTCCCTGCGATGACGCTCGGCTCAAACAGCGTATCCCCCAGGGTGAGCTACGCAATCCCTGAACGCCCATAGGCTGTACCAGATGTCAATCATAGAAAACATGAACCCCCTAATAACTTTTAAAAACGGAGCTGTACAGAAAAAAAGACTTGGGCACAAACCAGTCTAACAATAACTACATGTCAACGTCACAAGCAGGGGGGAGAAAAATTTATGTTCTGTGTAATAAATTTCTAAGTTTGTCCACAGGCCCATAAGCTTTGCTGGCGGAGGATTTATGACCTGTACTGCAGCCCACCATCAGAGGGTGCTGTTCTCGGAGTGGCTTCAGCCAGCGAGGAGGCAGACTCTGTCCATCTTAGATACAGTCAATGGTTGACGCAGCTCAAGGAAGAACATTTATGATCATTTCTTCATGGAAATGCAATCAGACCGAGACGCTAAGGCAGAATAATTAAATGCATTAAATTAAATGATAAATCATCATAATAAAATAATAAAAGTGCAGTAAAAACCTTATACATTCATATTTTTTAATTACTTTTAAAGCATCACATCTTGTCAACAAACTTCAGACCTATCTATAGATATAAAATTTATTATATAAATTGAAGAAAATATTGATTTTAATGCATTATTATTTTTGGCACATTGACAGTTTTAAGTAAAAACTTGTACATGAACATGTCTGATAAAAGTGCAATTAAAAACAAAATACATTCTTATTTTTACTTTACTTTTGATTAAACACATCTTGTCAACAACTTGAGACCTATCCATAGATATAAAGTTTATTTATTTATTTATTTATTTTTAGGGTTTTTAGTGAAGCCAATAGATAGGCTTTTTGAATTAAGAAAATAAAAGTGAAAAAAAAAAATAGTGCCAAAATTTCATACAGCTTGCCTTTAAACTGACCAGTTCACTGAGAGACGAACAAAAAGAGAAAAAAACACCCAAAATGTCACTTTTGGGCCCCTAGATGCTCCGAGAGTTAACAATGCAACAGCGAACCTCTGGTATAGGAACTTGGTTGAAGCTGACTGCGCAGCAACTTTAGAGACATTTATAGACATAGTGGGTGCGAATGCCCTCGGTGAGTGTGTGTTCCTTGTTTCCATGTTGAGTGAGGGGGTTGGCTTTTTCCCAGTTTCCTCTTCATTGGTGTGGAGCTGGGAGATCGCGGTGCTCAAAGCCACAGTTTAGCTTCGCCTTCTCCCTTGGTGCCATAAACGTCAACAGTTTGCCGCTGCTTCGTACCGTACAGCTGAGGGGAGCAGAAAAAAAGAAACTCGGAGTCACTTAGTGAAACAGAAGAAGGCCGGCAGCTGTTGGAAAAACCTCGGACTTTTTTAGATGGAGGAAACATACTCTCTTCGACTTCTGTCAGTCTTAATAACTTTAAGGCTGCTGTCGCTTTCTAACGGGACAGGACCGAGTAAGTTGCGCAGATGTTGGCGAGTTTATGTTTGCTGTATGTACAGAAATGGCTCCATTACATTTTCCTTTTGGTCTATTTATGTAGACATGCTGGGTGATTACGACAGGCTGACTTAAAGCAACAGACTTTTATTGTTGTATATATTCAGGAGGGTTTCATTGTTCATGTTGCAGTACCTTTACTTTGAAGGGGGAAATGGCCTTAAATTGTGAAGGGTGAATAAGTATCATGGAAAGTATGACTGAATTGTGGAAATATTTTAGTAGACAATGATTACCTTGAACTCATGATAACATCTTTCTGACTTACTTTTGCTTTTGTGTTAAATGGAGTTAGTAGACTGTAGAAAATGAAGTTGCCCACTGAGATACACAGGGAGAGGCTGAACACAAAGAATGGTGGGCAGAAAGTTCAGAGTTTTTCAAAGGGAGGGGTATATCCTTCCTGAGCATTTTCCTCTTGCCTCCTGAGACATGGCTTTTGTTCAACAGTATGTCAGTAAAGCACTGGAGGAGGAAATGTTGTTTTAAGATAATGGTTGTGTGTAGTAGACTCGAACTGCAATAACATTCTCACCCCCACTCTTAATTTCCGCAGGTGCCAAGCAAGAATGCCCTATCGAAGTAACCCCAGACAGGATGGTGATACAATACCAAGGGAGGAGTGAGAAAGCAACATGCAAGCCAATGTCCAACATCTCGAGCAACGTCGAAAAATTATACTGGCAAGATCAGGAAAACAATTCGACAAACAATTCGATAAGTTGGTCTGTTGACACCCACAAAGACTGGAACTCAAAGCCTGAGTGTATTGGGTCTTTTGTGGGCAAAGGAGAGTGCCGGAAACGTCTAAACGTCATTCTTTACAGTATGTATCTTTTACTTTTACATGCATGCATGCTCTTAATCTTTGAAAATGTTTCTGTTGATTTCATCTTTTAAACTATTTGTCCAGAAACCCCAGACAGTGTCTCCATCCTTCCTGTTGGTAATATAAGCTCCGTGGTGGAGGGGAGAGAGTTCGAGCTGCAGTGTGATATAACCAATGTTGCTCCTGCACGAAACCTGGCAGTGCAGTGGCTCATAGGGAATGAAACCATCGGACCATTCAAAGGTAGGAGTCATATTTTACACAAGTTTCGCCTTTTCTGTTAGGGCAAAAGAGAGAAACAATATAACCCCTAATATAAGACATAGGATCTGCACACAAACATGAGACATGTTATTTTCCTCAATGTGCAGAAACATATTAATGTTTACAGACCAGAGCGAAAAGCAAAGACTGCTTCTTGAGATGCGTCAATCCTATTGGATCAAGATTAGGATATGGACAATTTTTTTAATTACATCAGCTTTTATAAATCCAGCATGAGTAAGTTAACTTTAGTAACCCCATACAGTATGTTCTGCTTCTTTACTGGAGCTGTACAGCAAAGTTTGTAACAACATACAAGGTGATTTAAAGCATGGTGAGTCTGCTGTTAGTGTTACAACAGACAATTGGAGCTCCCATGTTTGTAGCATGTCATTAAGTTGCAGTAATGCATGCACACCCTGACAGTTCATGTCAAGCCAATTATACAACTTATAAGTGAACCTAAGTTATTATAAATCCTTGAGGGAATTTGTAATTTTTTTTTTCCAAATTTTAAAGTAATGAAGTTTTTCTAGATTGATATCGTTTGGTGAATATATATTTTACCCAGGCAAATTCAGGTCTTGGATTGGGACCCAGCAGATATGCAATAGTTTATTCTTAGATAATACGCTGCCATCACCAATAGTACTGGAATAAGACAACAGTGTACCACACACACAAGTAGAAAGCATAAAACACATCTTCCGTCTGCTCCTAAATGGTGTTCCTCTTTTCTCCATCAGGCGCAGTACGAGTGACTAACTGCCCGCCAGAGGACAACACAAACTGTAACATCAGCGCCACTGGTTCCCTACTGAATGTGACGTCTACAATCAGCATCACTCTGAACCGAACACACAACGGGACAGACCTCAGATGCGAGGCTCTGTTGGACCTCTGGCCTCCTCAGCCTCCTCTAACCACGATGTCCAGCTCCTTCAACATCACTGTCAACTGTGAGATCACATTTATGTTTTCAGTGACACTGATTATGAAAAGTTGAAAAGTCTTGGTGTTTTTTCACTGAAGGGATATTTTGGTTCATATTTTGGTCAGTATCGTACACAGTCTTTGACCTCACACAGCGCTGTTTGGTATGTTCTCAACAGATAAGCCCGTTATCGACACCCAAAAACTCGCAAAGATTGTCCCAGTGTTCAGAGGTTACCCCGAGGACCTTGTTTGTAAGGCTGATGGTCATCCACCTCCAAAGATTGTGTGGCTCTACAGCTCGGACAAAGGGCCCCACGTATCTGGAGATATGTTAACCGTGTCTGAAGCGGGTCTCTACAACTGCACCGCTACCAATGAGGTGGACTCCATTTTCTTCGAGGTTGAGGTGGTTTTAAAAGGTAAGCCCTCCAGTTATTTAAACTACTTATGACTTTATGAAAGTGTGCATACTTTCTTTAAAAACTCTGTAAGATCCTTTCATAGTTGTGGGACACTCCCTGGCAGTGAAACCAGATCTCTTGCTAACACTAAATATGTATTCCAGTTAAATATTTCTAAAAGCTGTTAATTAAATATATAACTCTGAATTAAAGTTGGAGCATCTTCTGGTCATCATTCGGTCAATATAAGGAGAAAAAACTGTGACAGTAAAACAATAAATCCTAATGAGATGGAGATTTTCTGTACTTGTAACAGTTTTATCAAAATTTCTAATGATTAGTATATTGTCTGATTTCATTACAGAGGACTACCTTCCCCTCATAGCTGGATTTGTGGCCGTCACAGTCATTGCCATCTCCATCATTTTCGTCTTCATCTACTCGATCTATTACAAGAACACCAAAATGCGACGCTACAGTCTCAAAAACCCCAAACTCAGCGCCCACAACAGCAACGTGGCTCAAAATGGATGGGACCTGCAGTTTCCTATGACTAAACTGTCCTAGCAGCATTGAGCGGATAGCTGATCACTTTGAATCAGCTGCATCTCACTGCCAATGATATCTACAGAGTCAGAAACGTCTGAATACCACTCAGCCTGCAGGCTCACTCTGGTTTTATTGGAAATCTCTCAGATTCGTCAAACAGCACACACTCGATCATTCTTACATCTGTTTGGTCACATGGAATTTTTTTACCTTATATTGAGTAATCTGAGTATGACATCGGGCCAAGTAAAATGAAAAAGTTAGGCTTGAGATGCGCATTTTTGTATTTACTACTGGATTTGACCTGTTTTCACTGGACAGGGAGAAGGAGAGGAGTTAAGACCCAAAACTTGGCCCTGAATTACCAGAAAACTGTCAACTGATCTGACATTGGTTCTTTAGCACAAAGGGAATTTGTTTGTTTTGATGTCCACTTTAAAATTTACAAATCATGCAAGTGGCGACCCTGAGGCTGCCGTGGTTTTAACAGCCACACTAACAAGAAGTGCACTATTTTTTTTTCTCTATTTGCTGATCAGCCTCTGAAAGTGTGATACTGAATCTGTGAAAATGACACCGACTTTGCCAAATGTGTGGACATTTTTTGCTTCGAATTCACTGAGCCCAGTGTCCCTTCATTATTCTTTGTAAAACACTGCACTTGTTCTAGAGTTTGTAGCCTTCTCTGTGCCTGACCCTAGTACCACACTGTGCCAGGATTCGGCTTCATGGGGTCACACTGTCTTTTACCAAAGTTCTTGGCTTTTGTACAAATGGCTGCGGGCAATGTGCCTATCAGAACTGTATATTCAGGAATATATTTTATGTAAATGCAAATGGTATTTATTTATTTAGAAACTGTATTGATTGAGCTTTTTAGTATGAAAAAAGGGACTGCAGACATGTTTTTACATTTTTTAAAAGACTGGAAGACTAAGTGGTAATGGGTCCTACTCACAGTATCGGCACATGAGGACATTGAAACACATTTGTGAATACGGCTGTAAATATTTGTTTGGTGTTAAACTGAAACTGTATTTTAATAATAAAAATGTGAGTTTTCAGACTGATTGTTTTGTCACTGAAATTTGGTAGGTTTGACTACATCTGGTAGGGGAGAGTGGGGTAAGATGAGCCATTTTTCATATTTCAGATCACTACATCAAGGCAATCATAGTTTTGTCTCTAACTAGTGTATCTGCATATATTTCAAGATGTTGAGCATCCCTGCAAACCAGCAAAATGAGTGTAAACATAACTGTCTTGATAATATAGCATGAGAAAAAAAGTGGTCTCCTATGGTCAACTTACCCCGTGTATGGGGCAAGTTGACCATAGGAGTGAGGTTAGTTGAGCTGTATCCCTACTACCCCTAAACCCTCCACCCCAGCCCTCCCTCACCTTCTCTCTCCCTAAATAACAGTCACTTCTTTCTTTAGTATTTTTATCTATTATACGCTTTTCAACTGGTACAATAATTCTTTTATTATTTTTGCATATAAAGAGCTGTTTTGTTTTGCCTTTAAGTGATTCAGAACATTCACAGATGTATTTTTGAAAAGACAAAGTAAAACATTCAAAAATCTGAACTGAAACTCTGATCCTCTCATCAGACTAATTTACTTTCTCATTTGAGAACTACTATGATGACTTTATTAGTCCTCTAAACTAAAATGGTGGACTTTTATGTTGTAGCTCATAGATACCACAATTCATGTATAAAACAAATTTAAAATGGTCTTTTTTGGTCTGAACACAATTCTAATAAAACTTATGACAGACTAAATTCACTTTCAAGAGTGAAAAATGTTTTTTTTTTGTAAATAAATGTCTAACTCCTTCACCCATGTGCTTCTAACCCTCACAGACTCTATGAATTGATGCCCATCTCCTAAATATTTGGTCACATGATCAATTTCTTTGACCATTTCCAAGTAACAGGGAGTGGCTCAACTTACCCTTTGGCTCAACTTACCCCACTCTCCCCTGTGCATGTAGGCCTATAGAATACTAATTTATGGCAAAGATCAAGTCTAAAGTCCATTTTATAGACATCTTTCGAAAACAAACTTGAAAATTCTTTTTTTAAAGAATATGCTCCTTATAGAAGAGGATTTTCACCATATTCCTTAAGTTTTGTTTGTAGAGAGGGAACAGCCAGTAGAGGGTACTATATACCACCTGTGTCTTAAATGCTGCCTTCCAGTGCTGTTGGAATCGTTGGAACAATTACGAACTACAGTCACTCCACGTGCTAAAGTAAAGAGTTGTGTGTTGGTTGAATTGCCAGACTTTGTCAGCATAGGATGTCAGAACAAACTTAACTAGATATTTAATGTATTGGTGGAATTGCTGGTTAGGGAAAGTGTCCAAAAAGCAGGTTCAGACCGTTTTAGAAATACACATCGTTTAACGCATTATACTCCATTTCTTAATCGGACGTTTTTAACTTTGCGGTCCCACAGACGAGAACAAATGGGGTGTTTCCCAAACTGTTGAGCAATACTACTAACCTCCAGACAATGAGACCTTTTAAGTCTGGCAGTTTATATCCACACCCGACTGACTGAGACGTCCAAACGGGCTTTCCGAGGAACAGCTAAATGCATCACATGGATCGCTTTACATTTTGGGACTTTCTTTTTCACTAGGTGAAAGGAAAAGAAGACACGGGACAGCACGTAGCGACAAAAGACAATCTGTGAATCTGGAAACAATCAACCATCTGGACTTCTTTAAAATTTCATTGCGCCGAAGTGTTGCTTTCAGGGCAAATCAGGGAAATCAGTATGTGGTACTTCATGCTCATCGGCTTGGTAGCCTATTCAGGTAACGTTACTCTTCCCAGTAGTTTTATGCACCGTGATTTTGTACACTTACTCAGCGTTACAAGTTGGTTTCATTTCTGTTTCTCTGAGATCCCGAACATTTTAGTTACAGCGTCTCAGGCTGGCCTACGCCCACAGATCGGTAGCGTTTGTTTTCCTGATATGAGCTGCTTCTGTCCTTGTTGACACAGTTCAATCCCACATCCTTGATCTCTTATGGTCATGAAGCTCATCTTTAATTCCTAGTTAGGTGGAGCGACCATCAGGGGAAAGATTTATGGTCGACAAAATCAACTTTGTTTCTCTGTCCAGTGTTATTGAAACTACTTAGATAGCTTATCAACAACTAGAAAAGGGGGTTCATAAATACTGCTGGTGCAAATGTAATAGTTAAAATGATAGATTGCACTCGATGTTTGTTGTCTGTAAGGTTACTTAAATTACAAGCTGGGACAGTTTGGTGCATGAGTCATACTTATGCAGGTTGTAATACACACCCTTGTAGGAGAGAGTGGGGTTAAGTTGAGCCACCCCCCTGTTGCTTGGAAATGGTCAAAGAAATTGATCATGTGACAAAATATTTAGGAGTTGGGCATCAACTCATGGAGCCTGTGGAGGTTAGAGGCACATGGGTGAAGGGGTTAGACATTTATTTACAAAAAAAAAAAAAAACTTTTTTACTCTTGAAAGTGAATGTAGTCTGTCATAAGTTTTATTAGAATTGTGTTCAGACCAAAAAAGACCATTTTATATTTGTTTTATACATCAATTGTGGTATCTATGAGCTACAACATGAGGTCAAAAACCTAGTATAAAAGTCCACCATTTTAGCTTAGAGGACTAATACATTCATAATAGTAGTTCTGGGGTAAGTGACTCAAATGAGAAAGTAAATAAGTCTGATGAGAGGATCAGAGTTTCAGTTCAGATTGTTAAATTGTTTTACTTTTTCTTTTCAAAACTACAGCTGTGAATGTTCTGATCATTTAAGGGCATTCTCATGTTAAATTGTCTTTGTACAAAACTGCTTTTTAGCAGTTATACGAATAATAAAAGAATTATTGTACCAGTTGAATCGGATATAATAGATACAAATACACATGAATATGAAGAAATGACTGTTATTTAGGGAGGGAGGGCGTGAGGGAGGGCTGGGGTGGAGGGTTGAGGGGTTGTAGGAATCTGGCTCAACTAACCCCATACACGGGGTAAGTTGACCATAGGAGACCACTTTTTTGGCATGCTATATTATCAAGACAGTTATGTTTACACTCATTCTGTTGGTTTGCAGGGATGCACAACCTCCTGAAATATTTGCAGATACACTAGTTAGAGATAAAACTATGATTGCCTTGATGTAGTGATCCGAAATATGAAAAATGTCTCATCTTACCTCACTCTCCCCTACTTGTAGGTCAACCTGTGAGTTCCTACTGTCCAATTCAGATGACTCCCCCTACAGCCGTCGTGGAATTTGGAAAACCTTTCTCAGCCAACTGCAGCTCGTTATCCAACCAGATGGAGAAAATGGGCTGGGAGACAACACTAGGAACCACCTCAAATAAAGACAATTATGTTAGCTTACAGATTAATTCTGTCACAGAATGGGACTTTGCCCCCCAATGCTATATAAATATGCATGATGGTGAGCAGTGCTCTGAAGACTATCCTATCACTGTCTACAGTAAGTACATATTTACTTAATCTAAAAGGCACTTTTTTACTATTAAATGCTCATCATGTTTGAATGTTTATGGTGATTTTTTAACACTTTTATCTCTTTATTACAGAACTTCCAGACCAAATCTTGATTTCTCAGAGTTCATCAGGCCCTATGAGATCAGGCCAGACGTACCGTATACAGTGTGACCTTGTTAATGTTGCACCAGTACGGAACCTCTCTGTGAACTGGTACCTGGGTGATAAATTAGTGTCTACTGAAACATTTGACAAGTCAGATCCAAATCCAAAATCAGTCAGCAAGTCATCTTTCCTAGATCTGAAAGTCCAAAGTAATGACAATGGAGCTTTGCTTCAGTGTGAGGCAGAGCTGAACTTTGGATCTGTGGTACTTCCTTCAACATTCAAAGATCGATATGAACTTGTTGTACTGTGTAAGTTTTTGATGCTGTCTTTATTCAGCAATCAGTCATTGGATATTATGCAAAATGCTGGTTGTTGTTAACCATTTTTTCATTGTATCTGAATATTCTCTCCTGTTTTCATTGTCTGCCTGTCTGTCTGTCTGTCTTTATATTTTACATAAACCCTCAGACCCGCCCACTTTCTCAGATCCTGCAAACGAGACACTTGAAATTCCAATTGGTGATGAGATGATTTTAAATTGCACTGCAGCAGGAAACCCTTCACCGAAGTACAGCTGGCAATTCCCACAACAGGCAAACAATCAGCAAAAAGGGGATCAACATGTTTTCAGTTCATCCTTCCAGCATCCAGGGACCTATACATGCACCGCTTCTAATAGCGAGGGCTCCTCAAAGAAATTCTTCACTGTAACAGAAGCTCAAGGTAAGATCACTCAAGTCGTTTCTTTTTTTGTCATTTTCTCTTCAACTGTGTAAATCATCCTGTGATCTATCATGCTGTCGTTTTCCATCAGGTAGTCAACCTGGGACCACTGCTGGGATTTTACTGGCTGTGTTCTTTGTTTTAATCATCATTTTGGGATGTGTCGTTTATCACAAGCAGAGAAACTCTTCTGTTGCAAGACCAGGACAGATGAGCTAGGAGAGAATCTAACAAAAACTCCCTCCCTCCCACAGGGGACCGCACAACTTTTGGAGTCTTGATTGGAGGAGGTGTGCTCCTTGGATGTCTCCTCGGTGCTGCCGGTCTTTATTTCGTGAAACCTGATGGCTCATTTGCTCTCAGTTAAGGCAGCTGTCTACCTACCTCATCCAAACCTGTATGGTCGTGACATTTTTTTATTGCTGAATGCGCATGTTTTAAAAGCGGCAATTCGAATTTTTGAATGAATTTTGTGCTTGGAAAAACTTTTTAAAGGCTCGGGTGCGAGGTCTTTCCGCACATGCTCTTTTGCTGAGCATGCATAGATGGGCTTTAGGTTGTGCTTGGTGACTATTGCTTTAAAAGGGCATCAACTTATGGGCTGTTCTCAAAACTGCACCAAACAAATAATAATACTAACCAAAAACACATTTACATGCACAAAAGAAATTGGTCTTTTTCCCATCTTTTTTTTATTGTATTTTTTGTCTTTGTGACAGTAAATCCAACACTAACCTGGTTTCTTGAGTGCATGTAAATACATTGAATGCTTTGAATAACTGTTGAACCTTTTAACACTCAACTCTTTGGGGTATTTTTTAGCTCATTTGAGCACATTGTTGTGATTTTAAAGACTGCATAACCTCTGAGTTTAATTTTAGGCAACACTCATCGGCACCTCCTCGCTTGCAGTACAACAAAATGTCCTGCTAAATTGATTGTCCAGCAGCAAAGTCTCGAAGCTGTGATTTCACTTAATCATATTTGGGAGACACTAATTTTCTCACTACAGACCATGACTTTGAAACAGCTCAGACAAAAATTTATGAAAATACAAAAAGAAAAATCAGATGTATGACTTTTAACACTTTGTATTTCAAATTAGTATCTCTTTCTACATTGTCTATTCGACATGGGATTGTTACACTTGTGTTGCACCTTGCCCACAATGTAAACTGCACTGAGGTGGTGTCTGTCTCTGGGCCTACACCAGACACACTAATAGTTGCAAAATGGTGTCACTGTTTGAGCAAGCAGGAAAAAAAACTTTACCATGTGTGAGGCTTTGGCTGTTTACATGCTGTGCCCCACATGCCTCACAGTCCACCCAGAAAAAATAATGCACATAGACGGCTTTATTGCACTCTCATGGGGGCTCACTTGAATAGCACAATGACATTGTGATGGCAGAGCTTTGTTTCAGTGACACAGTGAAATCAGTGTGTAAGAAGAGGCCGGTCAGTAACAGCATGCCACAGAAAAAAAGTCTGTTTTTATAGCTTTAACTTGTTACAGGATTAGGTTTTGTGTAAACACAGCAGGTGCTACTGTATGGTCCATCTTCTAAAGCCTCTTTGGCCTCCTTGAGGGAAGTGACAAACTCAGGTACATTGTTTTTGTTTTTAATCAAACCTTTCAGAAATTACTAAACAGTTTCGGTAAATGCAGAAATATGAGAGCAATGAGGTACATGTTGATATTGAGAAATGTTTATTTTTATAATTTTTTTTTCATTTGTTGTTAGTCATACATTTCACTTATTGCATGCTTAATGAAACAATCTTATCAAATACCTGTTACATGTATGTTTGTATGCAACACTACAGCTCCTCGATCTTGCAACCATTTTGCACTGAAATGCTAACCATGCCAATTGTGTGATTACCCATAAGTTTTGTAGATGTACTGAAATGAACAAAAAAATAATAATCACTACAGTGTGTGAGAAATGTATTTTGTCTGATTTTGACAATGGGAATATAAGATAAAGATTTAGCATCTTTGTGGGCTTTTTTGTACACTGTACATCAGTTGTTGAAGTTAATTTAGATTCTCTATCATCCTTAGGCAGAATACTGATTGAGGCAAAGTCAAACTAGTGTCTTTCATGACTGTTTTGTTTCACTGCCAACTTTTGTCACCACCACCCCTCCCCCTCTCCCTCCTCATTCAACGTAGCCTACATGATACAGTGCCGAGACTGCCATACTAATTAGTACTAAAGAAACTCAATGTAAAGCAGTGCATTTGTTATTCTGTCTGGCTGCCAATGTAAACCTTTTAAAACCACATTCTTCATGTTCAGTCCTTGTCATTTCTAGTAAATGCTTCTGACAGAAAGCTCTGTTTGTGTACGATCTGACTGTGTTGCTATAACAACCTGGCAGTGCTAATATCAATACTGAGCTTAGTTTGTCAAAGACTTGGGGAAAAATAAGTTTTATTATAGACACGTAGGCTCGGGATATTTCTCAGGAGAACTGAGTGTGATGTGAGCATGTAGTATAATCTGCAAGACAAGAGTCCCAGCTGGGTTCTGAAATCCACCAAAAGCTTCTGATTACTTGTTCGCTTGTGCTAAGGTTGTGTCAGAGCGGATATGCTGTGCAGCATTCTGGTCACAGTGTGAGCCTCAAAAGCTAAACCCCGCACAACCACAACACTCCTGCCTGCTGGGATTCACAAAAACATAGAGTTCAGGAGCATCAGGAGACAAGTATGCAAAGCAAACGCAAAACCAGACTTTTGTTCCCATACGGTCACGCTCAACTTGTTTTTATTTTGGCAATAAGTGTTGAAGTAAAGCTGTAACAGACCACACCTTGGAGCTGCAAAACATTACAAAAGCAAATGACCTTTGACTTTTTAAGATAAATACACTGAATAACTTGAGTCAGGTTTATCTGTGTAAAAGGCAACCACTGTAGGTCAAAGGTTGTCCTAATAGATGGGGTAACAGAACCTTTGGAAACTTAAACTGATCATGATGAAAAATATAGATTACAAATCCTTTCAAATGCCTTTTCGGTGGACTAATAAAATCAAATTTATTATTCACATTTTGCTTTGCATAGACCCCAATACACAGATGGAAAACTGGTTTATTAATATAAAAAAGACACATTATCCTACTTTGCCCCGTGCTACTGCATTTTGAACATTGTTGTAGTACGGTGCACCATAGTAGGACATAGGGCCTTTAATTTCCTGCCAAAAAGAGTCTTAAGACACTGCAGTGCAAAAGGATTAGACTGTTTTTCACAGGCCTGCCACCTGTTAAATTTCCCTCTATCCCCTCTACCCCCCACCCCTCAAAGTCAGCTGGGATTGAAGGGGGCCCTTTTGTTCCAACATAGTTCCCTGCAGAGTTGCCAAGTTTGTCCAAGTTGGACTTTTCTTTTCCCTCGCCGCTTTATCGACGGATCCGTACAGAAAGTATCATGGGGACCAAGTTTCTTCAGTGGATTCTGACATTTTGCATGGTTTACTCAGGTAAGGCGATTAAAGTCACGGGATTTTTCGCACTTTTTGGGGTTGGGGATTAAAATTATTTGCAGTATTCGTCTTGGAAAAACAACCGTGCGAAAATAGATGGAAACTTATTCGCTGGAATCAGTTGTTTATAGGAATATCAATGGTTTTAGATGGTTTTTGGTGCACTAGTTCATCCATGAAAACAGGACTAGCTTAACCCGCTACGTAATAATAACCATGCTAACACCTTTTGTGCAAAAACGTGTGATCCAGAGTCTGAGAAAACAGTCCTATTAGAATTTTAATATCCATTTTTTATATTTTGTTAACCTAAAACTATAGGGGAGAGTGGGGTAAGTTGAGCCACCCCCTGTTGCTTGGAAATGGTCAAAGAAATTGATCATGTGACCAAATATTTAGGAGATGGGCATCAATTCATGGAGTCTGTGAAGGTTAGAAGCACATGGGTGAAGGGGTTAGACATTTATTTCCAAAAAGAAACATTTTCCACTCTTCAAAGTGAATTTAGTCTGTCATAAGTGTTATTAGAATTGTGTTCAGACCAAAAAAGATTATTCCAAATTTGTTTTATACATCAATTTTGGTATCTATGAGCTACAACATGAGGTCAAAAACTTAGCATAAAAGTCCACCATTTTAGCTTAGAGGACTAATAAAGTCATCATAGTAGTTCAGGGGTAAGTTGAGTCAGTGGATCAACTGAGACAGTGAAGAAGTCTGATGAGAAGATCAGAGTTTCAGTTCAGATTGTTGAAATGTTTTACTTTTTCTTTTCAAAAATACAGCTGTGGATGTTCTGAATCACTTAAAGACATTCTCATGTTAAAATGACTTTTAGCAAAACTGCTTTTTAGCAGTTATAAGCAATAATAATATAAAGAATTATTGTACCAGTTGAATAGCGTATAATCGATAAAAATGCACATGAATATGAAGAAGTGACTGTTATTTAGGGAGAGAGAAGGTGAGGGAGGGCTGGGGTGGAGAGTGGAGGGGGTAGTAGGGATCTGCTGTGGTCAACTTACCCCACACGCGGGGTAAGTTGACCATTTTGGCATGCTATATTATCAAGACAGTTATGTTTACACTCATTCTGTTGGTTTGCAGGGATACACAACATCTTGAAATGTGCAGATACACTAGTTAGAGACAAAACTATGATTGTCTTGATGTAGTGATCCGAAATATGAAAAATGGCTCATCTTACCCCACTCTCTCCTACCTTAAGGCTAAAACTTGAACAAACCACCAGTTTAATGTAGTTTTACCCTACAACTTTTTCATTATGAAGCTGTAGACCAACCAGCAAAGATATTATGTGCTATGTTGGAAGACTATTTTACATGCTGCATAACTTTTTTCTGTGTTGCAACATGGTTACATAATAGATACACACAGCCTGCTTGTGTGCAGCAGATTGCATTAAGTGTCCGGAATGGTGGTGATAAGATTATACTGATAAGTTCCTGATCTGTGTTTCTCAGTGACAGGTGAAGGTTGCTCCCTCATCATCAAGCCCTCCAGGGTGGTGGTGGGCTTTGGGGAGTCAGTATCGGTCACCTGTGAAGCCGCTCGCCCAGTCCGTGTCCTGGGTTGGGAATCTGCGATCAGTGCAGCTCACACTCAGCAGGATTTGTCTGTCCAGTGGAAGGTGGACAGCCTCATTGATTGGATAGAGGAGCCCATCTGTTATGGGGTGTTTTTTACAGCTCCAAGACAGTGTGAAGAGAAACTCAATCTGGTCCTTTACAGTGAGTCCAGTTTTAGTTTTGGAAATAAATGGCTGATGAAGATAAATTGATTGAATGACATGAGCTTTGTGTCCATTTCTGTAGAAACCCCAGACAGCGTTTCCATCAGGCCTGTGAACCACACTGGCCCCATGGTGGAAGGAAAAGAGTACCAACTGCTCTGTGAGGTCCAGAACATTGCCCCAGTTCAGTACCTCACCCTAAGGTGGTACCGTGGACAAACTGAGGTTTACAACCACTCTTTTTCCGACCTCACATCTTCCTCACCTGTCCAAGTATCTTCAATCCTCTTGATCACACCAACAAAAGATGAGAATGGTGCGCAGTACAGATGTGTGGCAGAGCTTGAACTTGGACCAGAAGGCCCAAAGCCACCTCCTTCTGTGACCTCTGAGCCTCTGAATGCTTCTGTGTATTGTAAGTCATGCAGATTAAACTTTGAATACCTCTCATATGTTGTATATGTTTAATATGTGGTGCATTAAATCCCTGTGATCTTCTCTGTAGTTCCTCCAGTGTTCATCAGTCCTGAACCAGAAGTTTTGGAGCTCATAGGGGGGGATGAAATGACCCTAAACTGCACTGCCACAGGGAACCCTGCACCTGTGTACAGCTGGCAGTCCCCCCATCCTATACAGGAGAGTACAGACAATGAGGCAGTTCTAACCTCCTCATCACTGATCCCAGGGACTTACACCTGTACTGCCTCCAACACGCTGGAGAAGAAGAGCAAGCAGTTCATCGTCAAGGCGAAGACCAAAGGTAATTTACCAGTAAAGTACACATGTTCCACTTGTCTCTACGCGGCACATCTTAATCAGGATTTCTTTTTGCTTTTCCCTAGGTGTGTAAAAAAGGAAGTTTTGAGAAGGATTCAGATGACCATGTTTGATATTCATTTCAACCAAGGGGACCTAAATGCTCCAGCGTAGAAGACAAAGATGACAGTGAATTCATGACTTAACTGATATCTATAAAGAGATAGAAAGTATATAAAGAAAGCACCAGACAAAGGTAGATCGAAGTACTACATGTGATAACTGTCACCTATGTTTTAACTTGGTCTGTGCAAGAGGTCAGAGATTGATGTTCACTTTTTATGCTTTCCCTGTGAAATTCTGTATCTAATTTATATTTTTCTGCAACTAACTTTGCTACTAACAAAATTATCATGTAATTAACTTTTAGCTTATTACAAATGTGTCATTAGACTTGATAAAGCAATCATTACAAGATTAACATTTTCATATAATACTGCTATTTTAATAATGAATGTGAGAGATCAACAGGTCATTGCTGTAAATATGAACAGTTTCTCAATTTGCCTGTCTTTATGAGTAAAATGAAAATAAAAAACACTGTTTTCAACATGTGCTTTTTTTTTTTAACCTAAACCCATTTAAGTGTGCATTGATGTTATATTGTGTTTTAGGAAGCTGTTACGGGTTATTTGATGAGAGAGATGAGATTGTTTATTTGATGAAATATACATACAGTACAATTTTAGACAAAAAATTCCCTATATTTTTGGAGATTGAAAAGGAGTAGGTTGAAGCTATTTAGCTTATATTTACCTACCCTCATTCCTTCCTATTCTATACCCTTTACATGTCTTTAGAATTTCTGATGTTGCCAAAAAACAACTAAAGCTCCAAAGTCTAACATGAATATGTAACTAATGATTCATACGAAAACAAAGACCTTATATATACATGTATACATCCATAACTATATACACGTATATACACACAAATGTACACTTTATATTTATACCTAGAATATTTCAAATCTCTCATGTGTACCATACCCACTAAAATATAGTAAGTGTGGCAAAATTTGTGTTTGAATTCAAGAGCACTTAATTGTAATAATAATAATAATAATAATAATAATAATAATAATAATAATAATAAATTATTTATAATGCGCTTTTACAGGTGCTCAAAGACTCCCAACAAAGAAAAAGAAGAAAATAAAATGAAAAAATAAAATACAATTTAAAGTACAAAAAATTTTGAGAAATAAAACCAGTGATGTAAAAGGTTTAAAAGGACAATATGAGAATGCTTTGAGATTTCTCACTTGATTGTGTGTGATGCACCTACACTGAGCCACTAGATGTCGCTGTTGCATTCCTAGGTTATCCGATTCGCTGTGGTGACATCACATGATCATGACGTCGCCTACTTGCACAGGAAGAAGCATTGGCGGCTGACATTTGTAAACAGTAATACTTTGAAGGACTTTCGCAATTTCTCTGGCGGATAAATGTGAAGCTCAGGTCAGTTTTAGTGTCGAGGAAAAAGGAATGATGTTTTGAAAACAGTACTTACGTGCGTTTACTTTCAGGTATGCCACAGAAGGATCCGTGCCAAAGGCAAGCATGTGCAATTCAGAAGTGTTTACAAGGTACACTCAAAAAGAAAGTCTTTTTACCATCTTTTTAAATTGTTTTGTGGGGATTTGACCCAGATATTGGGCTAACTGTCCTTTTTTCTGCAGCTAACAAATACGTGGAGAGCATGTGTGAGGATGTGATCAGGGAGATGCGGCGCTGCTGTGAGACCCACTCTGGAAACTCCATCTGCTGCTCCGGATTTAAGGACTCCAAACCCCCAGAGAGCAAGAGCAATACATAGCCCTCTGGCTGGGATTACAGCTAAATGGACTAATGCAAAATAAGCTAATGGTGTTTTGCACTAAATGGAGTTGTCCTATCCTACAAATGTGAATAAAGAGGTTCTGATGTACTTCCACATAAAACAAGACCACTTCCGAGGGCACAGCCTGAAAACCTAATGACAGAAAGACTCAAAAGTACCATGAGCCCTGACACTTTCATGCTCACAGTGCAGAGTAATGTGCACAGCCACAACACGGTGTGAAACACAACAATCTCGGTTATGAAGTGGGTGAGGCTTGCAGTGTTGATACCATCATATCTAAATCTTATCATCAACTATGTGGCACATGTTTGAACATGTCATTATTGAGCTACTGGAAATGTTCTGTTGCTGCGTGAAGGCCCACAACAACCATGGTAAATACAAGTAATGATGTGTATTTCTCTAACCATTATATCCATGTAATATCCTCAATTACAATCCAGCAGATACTGAAGATGAGCTTACATGTCAACAAAAAAGAAATCCTAATTGTATTTTAGTCTTATTCTTCATAGAGAAAATATTTTGTCTGGTTAGGCATTGAATAAATTTGGGGGTTTCATGACCATGATAACTTTTGTCTATGTCATCAACCAGTTATTGTGACAGAACTTATTGACGGTTTATTGCTACCACAGATGCGAGATAGGCCTCCTGGAGTCTTTCATCATAGATATTACAAAGGATATTCTGCCCAAAGGGGAGAGTGGGGTAAGTTGAGCCACCCCCTGTTGCTTGGAAATTGATCATGTGACCAAATATTATGGAGATGGGCATCAATTCATGGAGTCTGTGAAGAATAGAAGCACATGGGTGAAGGGGTTAGACGTTTAATGAAAAAAAAAAAATTACTCTTGAAAGTGAATTTAGTCAGTCATAAGTTTTATTAGAATAGTGTTCAGACCAAAAAAGATTATTTTAAAATTGTTTTATACATCAATTGTGGTATCTATGAGCGACAATATGAGGAACATAAAAGTCCACCATTTTAGGTTAGAGGACTAATAAAGTCATCATAGTAGTTCTGGGGTAAGTTGATCCAGTGGTCTGATAAGAGGATCAGAGTTTCAGTTCAGATTGTTGAAATGTGTTACTTTTTCGTTTCAAAAATACAGCTGTGAATGCTCTGAATCAGTTAAAAGCATTCTCATGTTAAAATGGCTTTTTACAAAACAGTTTTTTAGCAGTTATATATAATAATAATCAAAAGAATTATTGTAGCAGTTGAATAGTGTATAATAGATAAAAATTCACATGAACCCCGCTCCTACGGTCAACTTACCCCATACACGGGGTAAGTTGACCATAGGAGACCACTTTTTTTTGGCATGCTATAATATCAAGACAGTTATGTTTACACTCATCCTGTTGGTTTGCAGGGATGCACAACATCTTGAAATATATGCATATACACTAGTTAGAGACAAAACTATGATTGCCTTGATGTAGGGATCGGAAATATGAAAAATGGCTCATCTTACCCCACTCTCCCCTACCAATGAGAATGAAGCACCTGTTTCCAGGAATGTATACATACAACTTGTGGAGATGTTAAATGGCACAATGACAGACAACACATGCACACAGTATTTACAGACTGCTTCTATTTCTTTGAAACGAGATTTAATCAGCAGTTATAATTGCAAATTTAAAAGGGATGGAAACAAAAATAGAGGGGAACAAAAAACAGCTGCCCGGTTGTTTTTTTAATGTTCAGGCTTTAAAAAAAAGAAAAGAAGAAAAAGAAAAAACGTAATTTCTTCATCCGGTGTCGTACCGTACGTATAGCTGACGCAGTGCGTAATGACGTCAAACGGAAATAAGCAGTAGCAGTTCTTTCTAGAAAGCTGTAGCACTTTCGCGCTAGCCCTCGCTGGGTGTGTTTGCCTCAGTTTTTCCTTCTCTAGCCACTGCAAACCGCTGAACTGAACTCACAAACACACCTTAACTAAGCACAACGTTCTTGACTTTTATGCAGTTTTAGCCGAGGAACCGGGTTAGCTTCGTTTAGCCCACAAACTTAGCCGAGTCATATCCCGTGCTAACGCTGTTTGCGTTGTTGAGGCTCTTAGTGGCACCATGTCCAGGATAGATTACAGCGTTTGGGACCACATTGAGGTGTCTGACGATGAGGATGACACCCACCCAAACATCGACACACCTAGTCTTTTCAGATGGAGACACCAGGTACAGATTACAAACTTATTACATAATAATTTGGTGTTCATCCGGTCTCGTTACTGTTAGCTGATGTGTGCAACTACAAATGATAGATCATCATCTGCAGATATTAAACTCTGAATAGGTCGTAACAAATGGGAGAAAGCCACTCACACTTGTACACTTTGTAAGGCTGAGACTCTTAAAGATCCATGCTTTTAGTCTACTTGTTAATGTATTGATGTTGCACTGGTACATACCTGCAAGACTGTGGTGGACGTAAAACCATTGTGCCAGTCTCTAATATGTTTTATGTCCTTCAGGCACGTGTGGAGCGGATGGAAGAATTTCAGAAAAAAGGTGAAGACATGAACAAATCCCTCTGTGAAGCGCGGCGCAAGCTGGCAGAAGCGCAAAAGAAGGTGCAGGAGCTGAGCATTTCCAAGACGGATGATACCAAGGCAGAGCTGAGCAAAGCCCAGGCCGAGGAGAAGAAACTGAAAAAAGAGGAGCGAGAGTTGGAGAGAAAGGTGGATGAACACAACCGGGAAGAGAAGAAGATGCCCTGGAATGTGGACACCCTCAGCAAGGATGGGTTCAGCAAGGTGGGTCAGGGGTAGGCCTGGGCGATATGGCAAAAAAAATGTTCACGATGTATCTCGATTATTATCTCGATTTTTAAAAAACTGCCAGTTTTAAAATATCTGTACTAAAAACTAAAGAAACTAGAGATTAGTTCAACATTCTCTTAACATACAAAGTAAATAACAAAGAATAAGATACACTTAGAAAAATATAAAAAACATTTTAACTCAACAGTACAACAAATGCAGATAAATTCTAAAAAATACAGTGAATTAGTTTACAGTCCTGAGTTTTTTTGCAGGTATGCAAGACACAAAATAAACAAATCGCCCCCTCAGAGATAATGAAGACGCCTTAAAATGTTAACATTAGATGATGTAAACGTAGATGATATGATTGATCGCTGCTTTGGTCTGGTGGCCGCACCGCTAGTTTTAGCTAAACTGCTAATGCTACAGACTCCTCTCACAATTTCATGCTTTCCTCATCATCACTCGGGAAGAACTTCTTCAAATGATTAAATAGATTTTTTGAGTGTGTTTTGAGGGCACTGACCGCTGACATACCTTGCACATCAGCTTAATTGCTGCTCATCACTTTGGAGATACCCGAACCACCACCACACAGCTGACGTTATATAACTTCTCAACAATAACATCTTCGGAGGATGACTCAAAGTCATGGCTGACATCTATTTTGCTGCCCTCAGTTTCGCCTTTAGCTCCACGTTTGGTCATTCTGTTTACTTCTCTGGTAACTTACAGAAGTGAGCAGGAAAGCTGGACTCTGATTGGCTGTTGTGATGCACATTTCTGCTATGTTTGATTGAGCTCACAGCTGATCAGTGTGATTGAACTGAAATTAATCACGATCATATAATCGCCCAGTCGTACGCAGGGGCAAGGTAACATGTTGTCCAGCCTAACAGTTTGGGCCTCCCCTTTACATTTGAAAGATGACCTTTTCCAGACCAGAAGTGCCTTTTAAAGTACTGTCTGTTCAGACGAATGTGAAAAATGAAGATCATATACTCTGGGTATAACTAAAATAATTGTTATTTTCTGCCACTATCAATCCTTTACAGAGCATCGTCAATAAAGTACCTGAAAATGCTGAAGAAACCGAAGAACAGAAGGAGCAAAAGCATAAAACCTTTGTGGAGAAATATGAGAAGCAGATTAAACACTTTGGTAAGGATTCTTTACATCCACTGATTGATGTTATTTACTTTATATGACAAAGTGATGGTATAAGTTTGTTTTTGTGCTGCCCTGTCTGTGCCACAGGCATGCTGCGACGCTGGGATGACAGCCAGAAGTACCTCTCTGACAATCCTCATCTAGTTTGTGAAGAGACTGCAAACTACCTGGTCATCATGTGCATTGATCTTGAAGTTGAGGAGGTAAACAGGATGGGATTCAACATTCAGGGCCGAGGGCACTCACTCCATTTTAATACATTCAGATGACCTAATTTTAGTGTTTGAAGATAAAACAGTGAGATCCTCTTTATTTACTCTGTGTTCTTTGCATGTGTTTTTTCAAATGTGTACAAGTTTCTAACGTTCTATCTTCTTTGTTTGTAGAAACATGCACTGATGGAGCAGGTAGCTCATCAGACCATCGTCATGCAGTTCATTCTAGAGTTGGCAAAAAGCCTGAAGGTGGACCCTCGAGGCTGCTTTCGTCAGTTTTTTGCCAAGATTAAGGTGAATAATTGTGTTTGAAATTCCTTTGAAAATGATTCATGTTACTAGGAAGAGGAAATCTTAGTTCAGAGTTTAGGTTGCTCTCCACTTTTCCACTTTTTTCCTCATACCTGAGAATCTCTAACCATAGTTTTAATTTTTGATTTGATACAACTTTAAATTTTCTTGAGGGAACCTTCCCAAAAAGATTAATTAAATTTTATCTAATCTAATCTAATCCAACCTAATCTAAAACACACATAAACAGTTATCTTTCTGTTCTTTGCTTTTTTGGCTTGGATATATCTTTAATGATCTGCATATTTATATTTTGGGTGTACTGCACTGCAACTTTACCCACTGATCACCGATGTTAAAGCGTTTTTTAGTATACACAGTAGTTTCTATGGTTGGTAACACACTTTATATGGCTCCCATTACAGACGGCAGATCAGCAATATCAGGATGCTTTCAACGATGAGCTGGAGTCCTTTAAGGAACGGGTTCGAGGCAGGGCAAAGATCCGCATAGAAAAGGCCATGAAGGAATATGAGGAAGAGGAACGACAGAAGCGTTTGGGACCTGGAGGGCTAGATCCCGTCGATGTGTACGAGTCACTGCCACTTGTGAGTCTTATTTTTTGTCACAGTCCATGAATTCTTCTTTCGTCTGCTTCTGAAAACTGCTTCATAAAATGTGTTCTCACTTGTAGGAGATGCAGAAATGCTTCGATGACAAGGACATTGGAATGTTACAAGAAGTTATTAGTAAAATGGACCCCACGGTAGGTTTCTTTGTTTAAGTCTACGGTCAAGATTCCTACAAAACTGTGCTTGTGTTGTCAATGAAAGTCTACATGATGTTTGATCCCAAATGCATTTTTATCTGTTTTTGCTTTGCTTAGTGAATGCGATTTTTTTTATTCTTTAACACCATTTAGGAAGCAAAGACTCACATGAAGAGGTGTATAGACTCAGGTCTCTGGGTCCCCAACTCCAAGGTAGACGATGGGGATGAAAAAGAAGACGATGCTACTTATGAGGAAGTAAAACAGGAGCAGGAAGAAACAAAGAAGGAATGACCTACATTCATCTTATGATTTGTTGTTTCTAAAAATGTACTTACCCACTGTATTGCAACCACACCCTGTGTGACTAGTCGGCCAATCAAGGAACAAGGAAATAACTTCTCTTAAGTATTTAGCTAAAGCTTAAAGATTTGTCAATCATCTTACAGCACAATTCTGTTTCAACCGTAACTGCTGATTGGAGCAAAACAGTTGCTTGTATTTAGGTGTTTTATTTGTTTGGACATCACTAAAGTTGTATTCTTGCATTTATTTGTACACACCTGTTAATTTGCTGGGGAGTTTTCGTGCACACACGCCTGCTGTCTTCATTTCTGAGTTGTACTGTTGAAAAACATCTTGAGATTTTTGTTTTCTTTCAGTATGTCTGATTTCAAGATTTTCATTGGCCGTTTACGCCTTTAGCAGCTGATGTTTTTAAAATGGTTATTGCTCCTTTTGACTTTTTATGAATTTGCTCAACTAAAGGTTGAATTACATCCAACTACTCAGGTTCAGGGTGGTTCACTGTGGTGTTGTCTGTAAACTCAACGTGAATGTGCTGTGCAAATAACTGGTTCAGAGGTCAGAAACAAATCACAAGAAAATGATCCCTTATCAGAAGCAAATGCATCTATGCATGGGTGAACTTTTTTGGTTTATAAAGGTATGACTCAGGCTCTTAGGCAAGTAGATGGCTTTGACTGCACTCCAAATATGAACATTTGCTCTGTTGCTTTTTCAAAAGAAAAGAAAGAAAAACCTCATGGCTAAACAAGTTAAAATCTACATTAAAAGGCTTTGTTCATGAAGCCAGCATGCAATGTGATGGGCTTGAAAAATTTACATACCAGTTTAGTAAACCATGGAGGATCCTGCAACTTCTGCTGACATGACTGTATTTCCCCTTCTGGTTGTTGTCCCCTACAGCATGTGAACAAGATTTGAGGCTGTATATTGGTAACGAACAAAGCCTTGCTGTTTGGGCTTTCAAATGTAACAACGGTTAATTCCTTACCCGTATGCATGCTTTTTAAGAGCCCTGACTGCGACTTCTAGCATGGACAGCAGAGATCCAGTGAACAAATATACAGACCAAAGCTTCTGGTTGTGCTTGCAGAACTGATTGTCAAAACAGAATGGGATTTGGGATACAACATCAAATTTACAGTCTCATGAGAGCTACAGGTATGACTTCAGCCCTTGTGTCCTACTTTCCTGCATACAACCAAATCCAAACCAAACTAATAAAGCAAACAAACCCAGTGTTTCTAAAATACTGCATCCCAGTGGCATTGGAGTCCTCCTTTGGTGGCTAAGATGAGTTTGAAACATGCTAGAGATGCTAAATTTGTCTATATTTGGAAGTATCCAGTCCTTGACAGTGATTTCCCGGCGGACTATTGGGCACATTGCCCAGTGCTGCGTAAGTGTGGTGGAATTGTGTAGTTTCACATTCAATGCTTTTATTTTGAAGGTACAACTGCTCACTGGAGAGCTGATTTACGTTGAAGCTTATTTCACTAAAATAGACAACCGTCAAGTAGACCTTTTTACTTGATATAGATAAATGTGTCATAGAGCTCACAATAGTAGTGGCCACGTTTAGGTTTTTTTAAACGTGGCCACTACTTTGGCCTCTTCTCATGGGGATCCAGAAGGTTAGACACATTAATAGATAATGTAAAAGTAGAAATGACAGCAATTGATAATACTACTTGAACATATAAAGTATACACTAGTATTTTTGATGGTGTTTCAACAAAAGTAGAAATTCGTAGTGGTGTAAAAATCTACGGTGGCCAAGAACTGCCACTGCTGCAAATAAGAAAAACAAAAAAAATGGCCCCCAAAGAAAGAAGTCACATCAGAAGTTACCGATGCACCAAAAAAAGAAACCGAAGCCCGCTGCAAATGAAAAAAAAAAAGGTGCAGATTAAAAGCCACAATGAAAGTTAACGACACAAAAAAAGTGGCGATGCAAAAAAAAAAAAAAAGAATTACTGCGAAAATAAAAGGATGCAAAAAAATAAAGGAAAAAGCCAAAATGGAAGTGAGGTGCCGGGGACTAATAACGATGATGCACCGGTGTTCTACGATCTAGGCACAGAAGACAACGGCGAGAAGACGAGCAAAGAAGTAAGTTGAAAGGTTATTGTTTAATTTTGCTACTACGCTTTTCAATGTGGTAAGGCCATGTCACGCCTGAGTCGATATGAAGTTGAACTGGAGGATGCCGGTGTTGTGTTAGCTTCAGTTCAATTTCATAGCCACTCAGGCGCTACATAACCTAACCAAATGACACACTGAAAAGTAAAAGAAGCAAAATTAAACAGCAACCTTTCCATTAACTTCTTTGCTTGTCTTCTCATCGTTGTCTTCGTTGCCTAGATCGTTAAACACCGGTGTATCATCATTATTGGTCCCCAGCAGCTCACTTCCATTGTGGCTTTTTTTTTTATTTGCATCCTTTTTCTCTTGCAGTAATTACTTTTTTTTTTTTTTTTTTTTGCACTTTTTTGTGTCGTTAACTTCGGTTGTGACTCTTTTTAAAACCTCTGCACGGTGTCTTTTTTTTAAATTTGCAGCCGGCTTTGATTTCTTTTTTTTTTTCTTTTTTTTTTTGTGCAGCAGTGGCGGTTCTCGGCCACCGTACCCTACAATAAACAGAGGACAACGTGACTAAAAACATAAATGTTGTTTATTGTTAATTTAACGACTTACCTTGACATTTATTTTGAAAAGCCTGTCAATGTGTGCGTGCTGGTGCGTACGTGCTCGCGCCTGGGCTGAGCACCGACCATGTTGGAGTCGGTTTGCCCGTCGTCCCTCGCTCATTTCTACAGAAACTCTGTGCGTAGGCGGAGGGGAAATACGCTTCTAAGATAATGAAACCCTGCCCGACATTTAGTGAAGCTCTCCGCGTTTACTCGGTCTCCTACCAGTAATTTTAAAGAGCTCGCTGATAAACGGTAACGTACCTTCCATCATATTATGAAGTTATTGGCGGAAATGGCTTTAATAATGTTCATGTATTTCTTTGTCACGGCATCCGGCATATTACGAAATCAATAAGGACTCGTAGTTTTGGGTCACTCGATGAAACAGATATTTCTTTTCACGCAGACTCCATCTGTTTATGAATAGTCCAATTGTAAACTGTATTTTTCTATCATGGTGAGTGCTCAGTGTAAACAAACAACAAATGAGACAAGGTGTAAATCCCGGAAGCTCGTTGTATAATTTGGCCAGATGACGTCACTCTATTAAATCACTTAAGTGTAACTTTGGTCGAAACTCATAAAAATTTAGTTGTTTTTCTCTGTCCTGTTTTGTAAAAGCAGAATAGAGAAAGCTGCTTCATCATCTTCTGTATTTTTCTTTCAGTTTTAGTTTTCAGTTGCTGATCAACAGCGAACTCAATAGTTAGATTTGTATCTTTATGTTATATCAGATATTTGGCTGAAGGGGAGAGTGGGGTAAGATGAGCCATTTTTCATATTTCTTATCACTACATCAAGACGATCATAGTTCTGTTTCTAACTAGTGAATCTGCATATATTTTAGGATGTTGTGCATCCCTTGTAACTCAACTGAATGAGTGTAAACATAACTGTCTTGATAATATATCATGCCAAAATAAAGTGGTCTCCTATGGTCAACTTACCCCGTGTATGGGGTAAGTTGACCATAGGAGTGGGGTAAATTGAGCCATATCCCTACTACACCCCACCCTCCACCCCAGCCCTCTCTAACCTTCTCTCTCCCTAAATAACAGTCACTTCTTCACATTTATGTGTGTTTTTATCTATTATACTCTATTCAACTGGTACAATAACTCTTTTATTATTATTGCATATAACTGCTAAAAAGCTGTTTTGTAAAAAGCCATTTTAACATGAGAATGTCTTTAAGTGATTCAGAACAGTCATAGCTGTATTGTTAAAAAGACAAAGTAAAATATTTCAACAATCTGAACTGAAACTCTGATCCTCTCATCAGACTTCTTTACTTTCTCAGCTGAGTCACTGACTCAACTTACCCCAGAACTATTATTATGATTTATCAGTCCTCTAAGCTAAAGTGGTGGACTTTTATGTTGGTGGTGTATGGTGTGGCTCATAGATACCACAATTGATGTACTAAACAAATTTAAAATGATCTTTTTTTGTTCTGAACACAATTATAATAAAACTTATGACAGACTAAATTCACTTTCAAGAGGGAAAAATGTTTCTTTTTTTGGAAATAAATGTCTAACCCTAGGGTGGGCAACCATGTGCCATGGAGAGCCGAGAGGCTGCAGGTTTTCTCTCCAACCCAAAACTCCACCAGGTGATTTCACTGATTAGTCCCTGCTCTCTGCTTGGCGGTAAGGTAATCAGTGAAATCACCTGGTGGAGTTTTGGATTGGAAAGAAAACCTGCAGCCTCTCGGCTCTCCATGGCACATGGTTGCTCACCCCTGGGTTAGACATTTATGTCCAAAAAAAAAAGAAACATTTTTCACTCTTGAAAGTGAATTTAGTCTGTCATAAGTTTTATTATAATTGGCTCTTCTCGGCTCTCCATGGCACATGGTTGCCCACCCCTGGTCTAACTCCTTCACCCAAGTGCTTCTAACCATAGACATTATATACGTAGATGCCTCTTTAAGTGTTGGAACATAATCCAGCATCGCGCTATGTTGGATGGGTCTCCCCACTTCAGGTTCGCTCAAGAACCAAACGGGGTCAATAGAGAACAAGCAACGATGCCCGTATTTTTGCACTCTATGGTTGAAAAACCCGACGCGGTATTGAAACCAGATCACGTAGGATTACATTTCCCATATAGGATTGAAAAATAATTTGGTTTATTCTTAATGTGTGACATTGTCCTGTATTATGGCTACATCTCTGTCATTGTAACAAACCAAACAACCAAAATCGGGCAAAGATTTGAAGAGTTGTTATTGATATGGTTGGGCATTTTTATCCACCTTGATGCGCTGGAGGGGCATGGGGGACCCATCCAAGATGGTTGCAGCGCTGATACGTGAGCTCCAACAGGTAGCGTCAGGCTTTGAGGCATCTACGTATATTACGTCTATGCCTCTAACCTTCACAGACTCCAATAATTGATGCCCATCTCCTAAATATTTGGTCACATGATCAATTTCTTTTATCGTTTCCAAGCAACATGGGATGGCTCAACTTACTCCACCCTCCCCTACCCAATAGTTAGATTTGTATCTTTCTGTTTGTGTATTTCAGATATTTGGCTGTGTACAACATGTCCAGGAGTGGGTGGTCCAGGTGTTCAAGACCAGGGACACACCTGGGCCAAAGTGAGCCTCCCCAGGGTCGAGGCATCCATGTATTCCTCTTCTGGACAAAGGATGGGGAAAAATATTTGTCCCATACAAGTGGAGATGTAACAGCAGAGGAGCTGTGCATCTCAGCCGCAGAGGCTGTAGGTGAGACTGACAGCCTTGTCCGACAGACTCATGCACTGTGAAAGAAATCTTAGTTTGAATGTCTTTTAATTTGGCATTATGGCTTGCTTATGACCTGTGTGTAACCTCAGTGTTCATTCCATAGGGATAACTCCTCTATGCCATGTGTTATTCGCTCTGTATAATCCACACTCCCGCTGCTGGTACAGTCCGAATCACATTTTCAGTTCAGAGGACAACACCAACCTAGTGCTTCATTTCTGTATGAGGTAGGTCCGTCTTTTAGCAGCACTAGATGCTTTAGTGTTTTCCCCTCAAACTTAATAAAAGAGAATAAAAATATCTCAAAATACAACACCCCCAGAAGTTGCTAGGGAACCAGTCCCACCACAGAAACATGTCTCTCTCATCCTCATCTGGACATGAATGATGTTTTATCTGGTTGCTTTGACATTTAAAACAAGTAAACAAACTGACAGCAACAGTGTTACAGCACCAGTTGCTCATATTTAAAAAATAATTCATTTACCTGCTCACTCTGCTTGCTTAGATATGTAGATTTACAGTTTTCCTTTGGCACGTAATACCCTTAAAACCAAACTTTTTATAAGTAGTGTAGGCTGTTTCAAGAAACAGTAGTAATCAAAGTGGTTGGCACTTCTTATATATTAAGGAACCAAAATAACTATCATTAAGATATCTTTATTTTGAATATCTAGTTACAGTTTAGCACTCCAGCATGTATTAGTAAGTCTGTTTTTCTTGTGCCTAGGTTTTACTTTCGAAATTGGCATGGACTGAACGCGAAGGAGCCTACTGTATCCCGTTGTGTCCTTAAATCTGGAACAGATCAGGGGGGATCTCCACTGCTTGAATTCACATCCTTGGAGTACTTATTCTCCCAGGTTGTGTTTATAATTACATATTAAATCGTCTGTGTATTTATTGAGTGCATGCAACAGTTTAGTACTGAACCTGGCTGCTTTTTCTTGTGTCTTTTCGAAAGGCTAAATATGAGTTTGTGAACGAGCTAGTGCCGATGGAAGATGTTCAGTCAGAGGAAGAACTAAGCCGCTTCAAGAACGAGAGTCTGGGGATGGCTGTACTTCACCTTTCACACCAGGCGATGCAAACAGGACAGAGCTTACAAGAAGTTGCAAAGAAAAACAGGTAGGAGTTTTAGTGCATTCTTTTTTATTTTTTTTATAATCAAACCTTATTGCTTGACTCTGTTTAACTCTAAAATACTGTTTTTTTCCAGCTTTCTCCGCTGCATCCCACGGTCTTTTGCAAAACACATATCAAAAGACAACTTCTTGACAAAAATCAGAATCCGACGGGTGTTTTCTGAGTTCGTGCAGACCTTCCAGCAGCACACTGTGGATAAGGGCCGTTTGGGTGCCCAAGAGATCATGTATAAGTACATTTCTACCCTGGAACACTTGGCCTCGCAGTTTGGCACAGAGACTTTCCCTGTCTGCAACCTGGAAATGAGAGAGGAGGAAGATGGAAGTAGCTCTTATTCCAACACCACCAATGCACAGGGAATTGCAAAAGACAACTTTATAGCCCCCATCACACATGAAATAAAGGTATCCGGCATCAAGGGGATACAGTGGAGGAGAGTGACTGGCCAGAAGGTTTGTCAAAAAGCACTTTTGATTTTCTCATGGTTTAATTTAATGCCATGCTATGTGTGCTTGTTGTGTAGTGATTTATTCAACTCTTTCTTTATACTTAGGCACAGGCAAACTCTTACCTACGGACCGACTCTGCCATCAACACGAGGAGAACAAATCAACAGTCCAGCCAACAGAACGCAAACACTGCCGATGAATTAACGTCTTTTTGCAACTTCCCAGAAATAACTCACATAGCCATAGCCGGAGCTAATGTGTGCATTAGCACTCAGGATAACCACTGCTTGGTGAGAGTGCTTGTTTATGTTTTTATGTAAAAGCCTCAGTGCATTAATATGATTGGTTAATGTGCTTGTGGTGGATCAGGGCGATTGATATACTGTATATCAGTCCTTCCATCATCTTCTAAGAGACTCATTATACTGTATAGTATGCGTGTATCATAGATTCGCATATATTCTCACATTCTACATGCTAATCAGTATAGAGGCTTTTGCTTTTGGTTAGCTTAGGGCATTTTATTATGTTTTGAATTTGTATGCGTCTGTAGGTGGGAGTTCTGATTGTAAGCTAGTGGTGCTTCTGTGTGTGTGTGTGTATATGTAGGAGGTTCAGATGAACTCCAGCCAAGAGGCCCGCTCCTTCATCTCCCTCCTAGATGGATACTACCGGCTGACTGCAGACGCCCACCACTATCTTTGTCATGAAGTTGCTCCCCCAAGGGTAGTGCTGAGTGAAGCAAATGGACTGCACGGACCTCTACAGTGAGTTTTCTTCTCTCGCACTCGCACATACAGGCTAAGGAACGCAATGTGTTGTTATATCACGTCTCTGTTGTGTTTCCAGTGATGATTTTGTTCTGCTGAAGCTGAAAAAGGAGGCAGCAGAGGAGGGAGCCTTCCTCGTACGTTGGAGTGCTCTCGACTATCGACGCATCATCCTAGCTGTCCTGAACAGAAATGAGGTAAATAACACCCACGCTACTCTCGGGAAAGTGTTGCAGTGCAGGCATGTTGAAATTTTTAGCAACTGCTTCTGTTTATATTTACTTTCTGCTCACAGAATGGATCTACGCCAAGCCTCAAGCAGTTTAGGATTCAGCTTAAGGGTTCAATGTTCTGTCTGGAGGGCTGGGACAGAGAATTCTCCAGTTTGAAGGAGCTCACAGAGAGCCTCAAAACCTTTGTCCTCAAGTCTGGTTCCGACAGCTATATGGTCAAGAAATGCTGTTTTCCAAGACAAGCAGGTAAAACTCTTTAATTCCAGACATGTTGTGGTGCTTTGTTGTGAAATATTCAGGTGCCAACATGCATTTCTCTGTGATTTAGAACGGTCCAACCTCCTGGTGGTGAGGGAAGGTGTTGATCACGGTGTTCGCAGCAACTCCTTCTCCCTGAACATGACCCAGCTGCGCTTCCATCAGATCAAGGAAGGAGACTTTGTGCAGGTAAAGAGATACGCTTGCAGTTGATCAAGCATCCTGTCGTTTTCTCTGTGACCAACCAGTCAGCTTTGTGTTTTTAAACAGCAACAGCATTTAGGCCGTGGAACCAGAACCAACATTTACGTAGGGCGTTTGATGGTGCGTGGAGGAGGAGAAGACGATGAGAGCGACGAGTGTAATAACAACTCTTCTGATCACAAAGGGATACGAGTGGTGCTGAAGATTCTGGACCAAAGTCATAGAGACATCGCACTGGTAAGTTTTGGCATTTTTTTTGTATTTGTAAAAAGCAGAGAAGGGGACTCGAGTTTGAGACTTGGACTTTAGTCTCATACTTACAGGGGATAGTCAGAGTTGTTGTTTTTAGTTGAAATCAGAGGAGCCATGAGTGGGACCTGCTGCTGCCTGCAAAGACTTGAGCTTTGTACCCATCTTCTAACAATGACAGTGGTGGTAACTTAAAGCAGAGCAAGCAGAGCAGATATTAACATGTCTACTGCTACTCATGTATTTGAACTGTGCTTACATTGTATCCCTTCTTCTTGTGTTTTTAAGGCATTTTTTGAAACTGCAAGTCTCATGAGCCAGGTGTCCCACTGTCACCTGGTGTTTGTACATGGTGTGTCAGTCAAAGGATCTGAAAGTAAGCGCTTAAACTTCCTCATTCGGTACTTCTCCATCTCTAACATAAACAGTATTTATAGTAGGACTTCTGACTGTGGCATCAAAGGAGACGCAGCACAAATCCAAAACCACATTTCCTCTTTTCTGTTTTGGATGCTGAATGTTTACGCCTGATTTATTGTCTGATTTGGTTCTGTATTTGCTTTATAGACATCATGGTGGAAGAATTCGTGGAGTTTGGGCCTTTGGATGTGTTCTTGCGCAAGGAAAAAGCATCAGTGACTCCAAAGTGGAAATTCATCGTTGCCATACAGCTTGCCACTGCTCTCAGTTATCTTGTGAGTTCATGCACTGAGCTTAATCTTTGTGTAATATCACAGCTTAGTCTTTCAAGTGAAGTGGTACTTAAGTAATTTGAGAGCAATACAATCTATGTTTATTCTTTGTAGATACGTTCACTTAGAAGTTAGCTGACTACAGCAGCAGATAGGTGAAACTTTTCAAGAGCAGATTTAGGTAGAGCAGTTTTTCCAGTCCGAGCTGCTGAATGGAGCGTAAAAACTCCTATTTTCCGAATCAAACTCCAACTGACATCTCTGAGTTAACAGCGTTATCATCTTCATTGTAGGAGACCAAACGACTTGTCCATGGAAACGTCTGCGCCAAGAACATTCTGGTGGCGAGAAAGGGTCTGGAAGAAGGCACCACTCCTTTTATCAAGCTGAGCGACCCAGGAGTCGTCATGAGTGCCCTCACACGAGAAGGTCTGTCGAAAGCTTTCAGAGTCGAGCAGCTTTAGGTCTTTTGATATGTGTGTGTGGTTCGGCTTCGTTTTAATCAGATTTAGAAAACAGGAAATTTCCTCTAGAACACGTCTCGTGACTTCCTGTTTTCTGACAGTGAGCATCAGAATATGACTGTAGAGTCTGTTCAAAGAATACTTCTGAAACTTCTCTGTCTTTTAACCTTCATTGGTGGTTTTAGCTGGAGATGATGGACGTAACATTAGAATCCTTTTGCAGTTGCTTACATCAAATACACCAAAACAGAGGAGATATTACTGTGGTGAAGATGTCTTTGAGCCCTATCAAAACAAATTCAGAGTTTGTGATCTTCTAAAGAATACCTGAATATTTCTTCTTTCTAGACGAGTGTGTTTAGGTTCCTGTTTTTACCTTAACATGTTTCAACAACAAACTTCCTGCAGTCTGCAGCTGACAGACAGTGTTACAACATCAGGTGACTCTTCTGAAAGGACTGTCGGAAGTTTTCAGTCGAAACATGTCAAAGTAAAAAACAAAAACAAACCTTTTTAGACCATTTCTAAAGCAGGTTTCAGAGTGTCTGAAATTGACAACTCCAAACCAAATTTTCTTTTGCCCTGTAGAGCGTTTGGAGCGTATCCCGTGGATTGCCCCAGAGTGTGTTGACAGCGGAACCCCCACTGGCAGCGCTTCAGACCAGTGGAGCTTCGGTGCCACGCTGCTTGAAATCTGCAACAACGGCGACCTTCCCATGAGTGGCAGCACATTGTCGGAGGTATGTGCTGAATATTTCCCTCAACAACCACAATGTGTAGACCCGACAGTTTTCCTCGTTTGATTAGAATTTGATCGCTGAAATCTTTGTTCCTCAAACAGAAAGAGCGCTTTTATCAGCAGAAGGGACGATTAGCTGAACCAACCTCCCAGGAGCTGGCAAGCTTCATCAGCATGTGTCTGTCCTACGAGCCTGTGGAGAGGCCGTCTTTCCGCACGGTCCTCAGGGAGCTCACAGATATCATGATCAAAAGTGAGTTTTTACTCATGCACATTATTATTTCACTCTTTTCCACCATCAAAGCATTAAATATCATGTTTTTGCTTGTGCACGCAGAACCTGATATACCTATAAGTGAAACGCTTCCTGTACCTGACCCGAGCATGTTCCACAAACGCTACTTGAAAAAGATGCGGGTCCTAGGAGAGGTGAGAATTAACAACACATAACACGAGGAGTTTTCTGTATTTTTTTACAAACAAGAGACTAATCTATTTCTCATTGTTCTGTCTCTAGGGCCACTTTGGAAAGGTGACTTTGTACCTGTATGACCCCAACAATGATGGGACAGGGGAGCGTGTGGCAGTGAAAGCTTTGAAACAAGAGAACGGCCAAGTGCCTGATGGCTGGACGAAGGAGATTGAGATCCTGAAGTCTCTCTATCACAGCAACATTGTCAAGTACAAGGGCTGCTGCTATGAACTGGGTGAGTCCCCTACTGTCATCTGTTTGCTGAAAATTGTGTTCATTGACAAATAAAGTGTCTGCATTTGTAAAGAAGTTCTCGTTCAATATCCTTTTAACCTTCAGTACTCAGTGGATGATTCAGAGGATGGATTTTTGTTCCCTGCTGTTTCACTGTAGATATTGAAAATCTATTCCAAGTGCAGCTCTCTCTCAGTTGTTTGTCAATATTTTGGGCTTTCAACAGACAGCATGCAGCTCGTCAAAGCATGTTCAGCACTGAGGCGGACAATAGGCCACTGTTACCTTTTAAAAAATGGTGGAAATAAGAGGATTAAACCCTTTTGCGCTCTCTTGACAGGAGGACAAGTGGTGCAGCTCATAATGGAGTACCTCCCTCTGGGGAGTCTGCGAGAGTATCTTCTCAAACGTAAACTGGGTGTGCCTCATTGCCTCATGTTCGCTCAGCAGATCTGTCAGGTGAGTTTGGTTTGTGTTCATCAGAATCAGAATCAGAATGCCTTTTATTGTCATTATACGCAGTACAATGAGATTAAAGCCACCCAAATCAGTGCAAGACATTGGAAAAAAGATATATAGAAAATATGAAACGAGATTAATATGAAGTATATACAATGTAAACATGTGGACCTGAGATTCTTTTAACAGGATAAATATGGTACGGATATGGATAAATGTAATATGTAACAGTATAAAATATACAGTCCTGAGATCCTATTAACAGAGTAAATATGGTAAATATCCAATAGCATAAATGTAATGTGCAGATGAATGTATATTGTCCATCAGTGATTTGGAATATTGCACATGTTTAGGTATATAGAAATAGAAATATGACACAAATATTCCCCCTGATTTAACTATATTTCTTGATTCCAGTGTTGTTCAGTTTTGCTTTAGTAAATGACAAACACATATATGTAAAAATACTTTTAGTGGCATGTAAGGTTTTAATTTTTAGCACAGATTTACTGTGTTTTTATTGAGTTGTCTGATTGCACTTGAAAATATTCTCCACTCGATACATTTTCTGCTACAACACTTGTATTTTTGCATCTTTTTTAAGTCAGCAAAAACATTTTAACTACCCCTGAAGATCTAAAACTTCACATTCTCATTAAAGTATTATTTAGAATATCTGTGTCTGAGCAGGTTTCTGTTGTTTCTTCTAAAGGGAATGCATTACTTGCACACACAACGATACATCCATCGAGACTTGGCAGCTCGCAACGTCCTGGTTGAAAATGAAACCTTGGTGAAGATCGGAGACTTTGGCCTGACCAAATACATCCCTGAAGGTGAAATCTACTATCGTGTCCGTGAGGATGGGGACAGTCCAGTGTTTTGGTGAGTTTATGGTTGGTGTTATGCAGTGATTTGCTCCATGACTTAAGCGACTAACCTTCATTTCTGTGCTGTGCAGGTATGCCATCGAGTGCTTGAAGGAGAGTAAATTTTCTTTCTCCTCTGATATTTGGTCCTTCGGTGTAACACTGTATGAGATCCTGACCCACTGTGATACCCGCCAAAGCCCACCGACGGTATGTGAAAACTTCAAATAACTTGATCTGTTATAAATTGAATAATTTAATATACTGGTCTCAATTCAAAATGTCTCTCTGTTGTTTTATTGTAGAAATTCTCTGAAATGATGGAGGCGACGCAGGGACAGATGACAGTGATGGTTCTCATCAAACTGTTGGAGAAACAGCGACGGTTACCTTGTCCCAAAGACTGCCCACTTGAGGTAACGTGACATGACACGCAGTTTGAATACATATAAAGATTTTCATCGCAAAATGTGTGATCTAACTTGTTGCTTGTTGTTTTCTTATTGCGAACAGGTGAAGCCGATAATGGAGCAGTGTTGGGCTGCAGATCCCACAACACGACCCACATTCGATGCCCTCATCAAAAAGTTTGAGGTTATTCGCCAAAAATATGACTTGCAGTCAAACATAAACTTCTCTTTGGCTCAGATTTGCTGATCGGAAAAATCTGCATCTCAACGTGTCATCACTTCACCACTGTAGCATACATGTGCTTGCCAGCTGCCTTCACTTAAATAGTAGTCTTATACTGTTCGTTTCCTAAACAGCAAGCTGCTACTCAGTCTTTTTTGTATTAATATGAACTCACTGTGTTTTTATCTTGGCTGATGAGTTAAGAGGTGTGAAAAAGTGTCAGCTTGTGATCATTTTTAAGTTCTAATTTTGCATATATCACTTTATGTATCGAGGACTTTATTGTATGGAATGCTCTTCTGTTTTTACTCTTTTCTTTACCCTGGGTTTATATTTGTAACTTAACATGTATTTGATCCTTAAACTTGGATTTCATTTTATATAACACCCCCCAAAACAGCATAACTGTCTATTAATGGATTTTTCACTTGCAGTATTATTAAATACTTCAACAGACTTTTAGTGCTGGAATTATTAAAGATTCTGTGTCGCTAAATGTCCCATATGCAATTCAGCTACATCTGTTGTGATGAATTCATTTATCACTAGCTTGGGGATGTACTGCACAAAGTAAACTTCAGCACTTAATATTTAAAAAAATATCACTGACAGAGATTTTTTATTGCTTACCGCAGCAGAGTCCACTGTTCCTCCCATTACACATCCATTATACTGTGACCAGTCACGGAGGGCTGTCACAGACTTGCCTACAGGAAAAGTGATGTCCTTATACTACTCTGGGTCATCTCCCACTTTGGGTGAGTGTGAGCCTATTAACTGCTACTAAAGCAAAGCCATCAACAGCTCCTGGAAACAACTGTGCGTCTTCTGCTTTTACTGCAAAGACTGAGTATGAATGGGTATAAATGGTTATGACAGTAAAAAATCCCTTTGTTCCATTTAATCATGAAAAAGTAACTCTCCTATTTCCTTTAAGAACAAGTTCAACTTAAAGATGTTTTCAATGTTAAATTGTGTTTTAACTCCACACCAGTAGGGGAGAGTGGGGTAAGATGAGCCATTTTTCATATTTCGGATCACTACATCAAGGCAATCATAGTTTTGTCTCTAACCAGTGTATCTGCATATATTTCAGGATGTTGTTCCTGCGAACCAACAGAATGAGTGTAAACATAACTGTCTTGATAATGTAGCATGCCAAAAGAAAGTGGTCTCCTATGGTCAATTTACCCTGTGTATGGGGTGAATTGACCATAGGAACAGGGTAAGTTGTGCCGTATCCCTACTAGCCCCAACTCTCCACCCTAGACCTCCCTCACTAAATAAAATTCTCTTCTTCATATTCATGTGTATTTTTATTTTTTATACTTTAAGAACAACAACAACAAAAAAACAACTGGAAACAAAAACACCGAACAAAATAATACATATGTACACCAAACAACTGGACATGTCAAAGATGAATTTACACAACATATGCATGTCAAAATAAACTGTTTGAGAAGGAACAGAATGAAGCAAAGAGCTGTATTTTTTAAAAAGACAAAGTCAAACATTTCAACAATCTGAACTGAAACTCTGATCCTTTCATCAGACTCCTTTACTTTCTTTGTTGAACTACTGGCTCAACTTACCCCAGAACTACTATGATGACTTTATTAGTCCTCTAGGTTAAAATGGTGGACTTTTATGCTTTTAGGTTTTTAACCTCATGTTGTAGCTCATAGATACCACAATTGATGTATGAAACAAATTCAAAATGATCTTTTTCTGTGCTGAACACAATTCTAATAAAACTCATGACAGACTAAATTCACTTTTTTTTTACAAAAATACAAAAATGTTTTTTTTGTAAATAAATGTCTAATCCCTTCACCCATTTGCTTCAAACCTTCACAGACTCCATGAATTGATGCCCATCTCCTAAATATTTGGTCACATGATTAATTTCTTTTACCATTTCCAAGCAACAAGGGGTGGCTCAACTTACCCCACTCTCCGCTACTATGTGCCTTGGATAACATTTAGGGATTGTTTCAGGATTTTATTTCATTTTTTCACTCATAAAACCACTCCTTATCAAGAAGAAACGAGCACATTAAGTGTTTCTGTTCAAGACAACAGAGGAATCTCTTGTCGTTTGACACTATCTCCAGATTTCAGTCGAATAATAAGATAGAAAGAATACACTCCTTGTGGCCCCGCCCTCGCAACGTAACGTCGTAGTCAAGGAGAATGCGTCCTCCACTCGTCCAATCAGAAGCCGCGCTGGGGCCATGTGTGTATTGTTTAAACTGCTCAAATCCGACTCGGCTCTCACACCAATAAAACTTCCACCAAACTGAATGATGGCGGCCGCTGTGTCTGGTAGCGCTGCCGCTGCCAGAGACGAAAACACAGACTTGGGGCTCAGTTTCGCCTCCCGTCCGCTTCACGAAAACTACGACCCTTCGGCGGACCACGAAAACTGGATGCCTGGAGGCCACCGACGTCCCGAACTACTCGAAACCGGCGAAGAGGAGTCATCGTCGGACCGCGAGTGTCAAAGAAGGGTCGACGAGGACTTGACATCAGTGAGCCCCGAAGAGATAGAGAGCCGCCTGGAGAGGACACGACGGGAGTTTTACAACCGTAGAAAAATTATAATTAAAAACCTGCCCTCCGACGTTAGTAACCAGGTAAATCAACAAAAAACGCCTTTAAATTAAGCGAAGTAATGCGGGCTAACTCTAGCTTAGCTTCATATGCTACCTTTATATTAGCATGCTCGCCATTTAACCCTGTTTAACTTTGATTTATACACTTTTCTTAAATGGGTATACAACTACCTTAACGTGGAATTTATTTTAGTGCTACTGAACAGCTTCAGAATTCGTCTACTATGGTTGTTTGAGCTGACAAACACCGCCATGGTGAACTTCCAACTGGTCAGATAACTGTCAATAATGGTCATTGTGGCCTGTTTGACCTGCGAGTCCGGCCTCGTAGAAAACCGTTTTTAGTAAACTTAGATTATCTTTCACTAAATTTTAAAAAAAGGAGCAAAACTTTTAAGATTTTAATCAAATAATATTGAGTATATATGCAATAAGTAACATTTTAATGAGTCTGTATGCGTTTATCCATCTCAATTAGAGTCATGCCACATTTTTTTGGAACGTGCCTGACTCGTGGGGAGCGCTGGGCCTGCGGGCGGTACCATTGTTCACACGGGGGTGTGTGTGTGTGGAGGGGGGGATTCGAGATGTGAGTTGCAGTATAACAAAAGGTGGAAGGTGTGGGGGGACAAAACGTTTCAGAAAATGCTAGACAGCATCGCCATTTGTTCGTGACTGGTCAAAAGCAACGCAGAACAATTTCTCCTCCCAACAATGAGGGAGTTATTCAGCTCCCAACCCCCCCCCCACCCCCACAGGTGCACTTGTTGCCACTTTCCCCGTGGACGTGAATTGGTTAATCTAATTAACCTTTAATTAAATGTCAAAATGAATTACTAAACTCAAATTAATCATGGACCGCATATCTGTTGACACTGTGATTCACTGTTCAATGATGAAACCAAATATCTGGATGTAATGAACGCTTTTTTTCTCATTTACAGGAGGTCCATGAGCTGCTGAGCAACTATGACTTGAAGTACTGTTTTGTTGACAAATACAAAGGCACAGGTTGGTCTGACTGGTTGTCTGTCCTATCAGGCGTTATATGTGCATTTTCAATCAGTTATAGAAAAACACAATGCTGAAAATATTCAAAGTGGTGTCAATGGGGAGTTCTTGCGTTAAAATCCGATTAAACTTATGGTTAAGGACAAATTGTTTAACAATCAAGATGGCTTTTTAATTATTAAAGAAATTCATTTGTAACTCAGAAGATGTCAAAAGAAAAGAACCGCTCTGGAGTAGATTCTAGGTCCTTACTCAAAGGGAACGACACAAATATACGATGCAAAATTACAAAATATTCAGAGGTGAATTTGACACGCCTGACCATACATACCAAGCGCGATGTGATTTTGCGACTCTCTGAGGGGAAAGGAGATGTGTCCCGGGTGGAAGCGAGAAGACTGACACAACAGCAGACTGACTGTTTTTCATTTCTGATTAGACATTAGTGTTGAGATTAGGCCTGCACGATATATCGTTTGAACATCGTCATCGCGATGTACGTGTGTGCGATAGTCACATCGCAGAGCCTGCGATATTGGAGGTGAATGAACTCATTTAATTTCAAGGGTAACTGACTGAGATACACTGCATGTGACTCTGCATGTGCTGTGCAGCGATCCACCAATCACCTTCGTCCTTAACTCAGTTGCCAATCAGACTCACTTCTCAGTTGCCAATCAGACTACCCTGCCAGCTGTCAATCAAAATCAGAGAGGAGGAAACCCACCCCTGCACATGTTCTGCACATGGAGGGAGACGTGTATCCACCGAGAATTACTTTCTGAACTTTACTCATGACTGTCAAGCCCAACAAATAAGAACTGTATGGGTTTTAAATTTTACATTTCCATGGAACACTCTACTAAAAGCGGTGCGCGTTTTGCGAGGTGCATGCAATTCTCGGAGGACATGCGTTTCTTAGCACAACACCGCTAACAACAACAACGATCGCAAAATGAGCAACGACCAAGCGAAAACCACCGAAAATGAAGACTTGTTGCCAAAAAGAAAAGTTTAGTCAGTTATCTGGAATTATTTCGGTTAAAAGAAGGATGATGTCGACCAAATCACGAGTTCTGTGTTCAGCTGTCGCCACAATAACGTCCCAGCACAATAAAGGTTAAAAATATCTCTGAGACAGACAGAAGCCATTCTAACATTCACAAAAAGAGGTAAGATCAGTGCAGGTTAACTGTCCTCAAGATTTCAGCAGTGCAGCATAACATTAAATGCTGTTCAGGTCATCTGGTGAAAATTCCTGTATTATTAATATCGCAATATATATCGCAGGGTTGAAAAAAATCGCAATGTTAGTTTTTTCCAATATCGTGCAGCCTTAGTTGAGATGATGACAACCGAGCCCTAATGGTGCTGTGACGGCAACGTGATTGAGTTTGAGACAGTGAAAATACATATGGTATGTTGTATCTGAACAGGTTAGCTTACGAGCTAAAGTTACTTAGCACAGATGAAAATTAAAACAAAGATGTTTAGCAAACTGTTAAAGCACACAAACCATTGTCATATGAGAGATCCGACACTATGACTCTCCACAAGTTGTCCTTTAGGTTGTTATCTTTGTAATATTTGTGTTTTTTATCATAAATCACTCTGTTCTCCGACACATAAACAATCAGCCGGTCGGCCATGTTGGATATACCGGTGAATCTGATATTGCAACAACATGAAATCTGATTGGTCAGAAGTGGACACACAGTATGCGAAACTTTAGAAAAATCGACCCTGAAATGAAAAAATAAATGCTGCAATATAACAGGATGGGACAACTTGAACGCTTATTGACAGGATACGGGTTTGAAAAAAATATTGACGTCCAAAATAATCACACGACAAAAACGCTCCCGGTGTGAAAGGACCTTTTTTAGGGTGGATTTAATCAAGCTCTCCAAGTTTCATGCTGGCTTGTTGTGGAGCAGTTTTGAGCCTGTGCTGAAAGTGCACAACAAAGTTTGCCAATAATAGAGGTTGTAGCTAGCAGAGTTTTTCCACTTAATCTTCTTGTACTCAGCTGGAGCTGTTATTATTGGATTGAAGCCTCGCCAAAGTTGTGTAGCGTGAGTATATACTCAAAAATCTTCTTGCCTTTTATTCAGTAGCCTCAATAAATTAGAAACTTAAATTCGAAGCATCTTCTCCTAATGTGTAAAAGAACTGACAGACTGCAGGCAGGGAAAACTTAATTCATATTCCATAAGTCATTTTTTTACTTTGCATATTCTTATGAAGAACAAGCACATTGTTGTCATGGACTTCTTTTCATTTTCTTTGTCAACAATTAAGGAGACTTACTTGGGGGAACAGTGTCACATCACAAAAGCATCAATTTGTATGCACCAAGACAGCCTCTTTCGGCAATTCAAATATGCAAACAATTAAGAATAATTTGTTTTAAATGATCCCAAGGGTGTTGAATCAACCTTGTTTGCCCCATAATGCGAGCTGCTTTTTCAGCGCAGGGGAACAATTGCCTATTCACAGTTCTCCGAGTGCATTAAAGATCAGCTTGCCATTAGAGGCTTCAGAAAATATTTATTCAAGAATGCCATTTTCATAGCAGAGCCAGTCTTCCCTGCTGCTGGTGCATTCATATCCATCACATCAGCTCTTCTGGTTTTATGCTTGTTGGGCGTCTGTAACATGACAGAGACCCTGTTAGTCTTGCTTTTAACCAAATTTTATATCATTACCTTTAAGTGTTTAAGTATTTATCTCCTCGTTTTAATGACAGCATCATCTTTTATTGAGCTATTTTGGTGCTTTTACTGTTGTTTATTTTATTTTATTATTTCTTACATTTCATTCTATGTTACTTTGTTTTTAGATTTTAAACTAACCTTTAGTGTTTCCTTATCTAGAGTTTTAAAATGGCGTTTCCTCAGTGCGCACATTCCTTTTTTTAAGTTCATGCATTTTAATCATAGACTGTATATAGAATGGACAGAGTCTCCCTCCTCGCTGGATGAAGCCACTCCGAGAACAGCACCCTCTGTTGACAGGGTGCAGTATCGGTCATAAATCCCACCTCCGCCAGCAAAGCTTACGGAGCTATGGACAAACTTTAGAAATTTATTACACAGAACATGAATTTTTCTCCCCCCTGCTTCCGATGTTGACGTAGTTACAGTAAGACTGGTTTGTGCTCAAGTCTATAATTTTAATACATGTTTCTGTCGTGCTTAGATTGCGGGGTGGGGATGAGGGGTTGGGTTAGGGTAGATTAGGGTTGTCTTTGTTTCTTTTATTCCTCTGCTATGTAAAGCATTTTGTGCTACATCGTTTTTGTATGAAAAGTGCTATACAAATAAAGACTGATTGATTGATTATATCGACCAATCAGCATTGGAAGTCAAGAACATCAGGCTGACCTCTGTGGCTCCTTGGCAGCATTGCTAATCAACCGCCAGTCGCTGCAAACATTATGTAGACAGAGAGAAAACAAGGTTGCTCCACAATAATTATTCATTTTAATACAAATCCCGTCTGATGTTGCACAGGTTGACTTTGGGTGCATACAGTTGCAACTTGAGCCGTAATGGTTAATGGGATAATAATAAGAGACTCTAGTGTACCTGTAAAGTCTGTCATGCTGGTAGATCTTCTATAAATGCATGCCATCAGGATATTTTATGTAAATAGGTGTGATGTGGCATATTAGCTATCAACATGATGCTCAGTGAGATAAAATACCTTTTAATGTATGCCAGCCTTGGAGACAACCATTATTGTCCCATCAGGGGATTGTTGAAGGCTGGTGTGATGTGACATTGTGCCAGCAGCATTGTCTTTTCTTCAGACCTGCTAAAGGGGAAATTGTGTCACAACCACCTGAGACCCGCTGGGAAAGATAATAGAATTTTCTCTTAACACTTACTGATTCACTTCCTCACTTGACTAAATTGTCTTATCTTGTCTGTCTCCCCCCCCATCCACACCCTCAGCGTTTGTGACACTGCTCAATGGGGAACAAGCGCAGTGTGCCATCAAAGAGTTCCACCAGCATGTGCTACGGGACAGGGAAATCTCTGTGCAGCTGCAGCCAACAGATGCTCTCTTGTGCATTGCCAACCTGCCCTGCGCGTTCACCCAGCAGCAGTTCGAGGAGCTGGTGCGACCCTTTGGTAACCTGGAGCGCTGCTTTCTGGTGTACAGCGCGTCCACAGGCCACTCCAAAGGATACGGCTTTGTGGAGTACATGAAGAAGGACTCTGCAGCCAGGGCGAAGTCCGAGCTTTTGGGAAAGCAGCTGGGCTCCCGCATGCTGTACGTCCACTGGACCGAGGTGGGCTCCCTCACTTACCCACTTCTGCACTCGAAATGCCTGTGTGTGGATCGACTGCCTCCGAGCCTGCTGACGGCCCAGGACCTGCGCAACGCTCTGGCTGATACCCACTCACCCGTCTTCTGCCAGGTCTATTTCACCACACACAAACACATGAGAAACTTCACCTGAATCTTAACTCGAATGAGATCTCGTAGAAGGCATTTAATGGCATCAGAAGTTACTGTCCTATGTGGTTGTGTATTATCAAGACAATATCCGGTATCTGCCAGTTGGCATCAAGAGTTTAACCTCTCACTCTAACATGAAACCTGCTGTTGACACACTTCCTCTGTCTAACTTTTGTTGTGGTTTCTTTGTGCAGCTGTGTTCGATGTAAGCTGAAAGCTCCGTCACTGATGGAGGTCACATCTTTTCACAAAGAAACAGACGTGTTTCGTGTTTTTTTTAGGAGTAAACGACACAAACGATTTTATGCCATATTGTTGCTTTCAGTACCTTTTGACCTTTAGCCCAGATTCTGCGGCCACTCAAAATTTCTATAGCGGTGAGCATTGCTGGTTTCTATGGTGATGACCACCTGACTCCCCCAGGTGGTGTCATTCAGCTGCCGTTTCTGGAATGAGAGAGAGGGATGACCTTTGAGGCCATCGCACATAGGGATACTTTTCTGCTGGTTTCAGGGTTTTTTTTATGAGTTTGTGGGCAAAAGCAGGGATGTTTGAGGATCGGGTAATACTGAACAAGAAACATAACAATAGATGAACAAGATAGAAGAGCGTATGACGCATGAAACATGGGCCACATGTTTTGGCTGGTCAGTAGAAGATGTGACATACATTTATATAATATAACAGTGTTGGGTGTCCATGCTAAACTGTGGCAAAATTTCATACCATGAAACACCCGGGTGGCGGTCTAATCCCTGGATGTGTTTTCCTGACACCAGGTTAAGCCGTCCTTTTTGGCCTGGCTGCTCTGTCAAAGAAACATCCACCCAGCAGCTAGAAAGTCTGTTTCACCTCTCTGCTTCTATGCTTTGTTGGTTCATTATGTCTCTGAATGTTGCTCACATGTGCTGTGAAGGGGAGTCATTGCTATTTGTCCACAGACACAAGGAAGTTTTTGATTCCAGGGCAACAGCCATGACATCGCTGTTTGTGCTCGCTACTTTTGATATGGCTCCTTTTTGTAGAGAGAGGACAGTACGAGCTGAATCTGTGTCTGAATTGTGATCCTCTGTGAAAACTCTGAAATGAGGGTTTTTGTTGTCATGAATTTGAGGTGAAAAAAGACTTTTTAGAACTGGAAATCCTGCAAAGTTACTCTACAGTTTTCTCAAACCGGCATAATAAAAGTTGGAATGAACTTTGATAGTTTCTCCTTATTGTTTAAAAAGGCTTGTAGTTTCTGTTGGCAGCGGAATGTAGGCTAACCATCCAGGTTTTTCTTCCTCTCCACAGCTGGCGCAGGGACAGGATGGAAGTTTCCGGCGGTTTGCGGTGTTGGAGTTCGCTACAGCCGAGACAGCTGAGGAGGCGCAGCGCCTGACGGATCGGAGGCTGCTGGGTGGCACCCACATCAGGGTGTCTTTCTGTGCCCCCGGCCCTCCTGGAAGAAGCATGCTGGCCGCTCTGATTGCCGCCCAAACCATGGTACAGGAGTCGGAGTGGCGTGCTCTACTCACACAGCCAGTTTGTCGTTGATTTTGTCCTCACTACCTTTTTCTCTTACTCTCTTTCCTTCAAGGCTGTAAACAGGGGTAAAGGTCTCCTCCCTGACCCCACAGCCATGCAGATTCTCACAGGCCTCAATAACCCTGCCACTCTAAAGATGCTGCTCAACCCACTGTCACAGGGACACAAACAAGGTGAGCAGTTCCCACCACGTATTGATCAGTGTTTTGGTTTGTTTCGGTTCTTCTGATTCTAATGTTTCCCGTGTGTGCAGGCCTCCTCGGTGCCGCCCCGACGATGCCCCTGCTGGCCAACCCCGCCCTCTCTGCTGCCCTACTCCAGCTGCTCTTTCAGAACCAGGCCAAGGCCCAGCAGGTACGTCTACGCTGTAATGCTCCCTCTGACATGTGTGCACTCTTGCTGCTGAGCCCCCTTTTTTTTAAAATCATCCTCTCCCACTCCTTTCTTCTTGACCATTAGCAAGCCTTTCTGGGAAATCATCTTCTGTGGGCTCAGGTGCTGCACAATAAAGAGAACCCTCTTGTTCCTTGTGTGAGTGATAATTGTGTTTTTGTTTGGCTCTGTCGACTTGGCGTGTGAGACAGTAGCGAAGTGAGTGAATCCTGATTTTTTTGTGTGTTGTTCGGTTGGCTACAAAAAGGTAATGTCCTTTTTAAAAAGTGTGGGTTTTCTGTGTGTTTTTTGGAGTGGTTGTGAGCAACACGGTACTTCCATTTCTCCTTTTTGTGCGCAAGGTATAAATACCAATTCTGTGAGAACAGAGTTGAACATGCGGTGAGTAAGTCTGGGTTCTGATTGTGCGTGCTCGAGTAGTTAAGCAGCTTTGGAGCCGCGCTGGGTGACCCCTTTGTGACCCTGAACCTCTCCTCTGTCTCCTTCGACCAGCAGGCAGGACTCATAGGGGAGAATCCTCTGGCTGCTCTGCCCATCCAGCAGGGAGTCCATCTGCTTGGAGACCTGCCTCAAGGTTTGGCATCCGCCGACCCCAGCAGTCGCTCCTTAAGCCACACACTGCATGATCTGGCTGTTGTTTTTTTTTCCAAGTGTAACATCTGTAGCCCTCATCGCCTTTTAATCCAGGCTGAGATCGAGTCTGATATGTTATTAAAACTTCCAGAGTCAACAAACTAATATATAAACAACTATACATCCAGGGCTTGACACTGACTTTTTTCACAAGGAGTAGTACTATTATTTGAAATCAATTTTTGGTCTTTAGGTCACATGACATGGAAGCTATTAAAGAAAATGTTCAAAATTTGCCTTTTAAATTTAACACAAAAGAGGACAAATTAGGGAAATAAAGAGGCGTGTCTTATTGTCCGACCTTAGTGCTATTATTTGAAATCAATTTTAGGTCAATTGGTCACATGACATGGAAGCTGTTTAAGGAAAGCAGCCTTTTTTGAGAACATCAACTGGTAATTTATTGATGGTCCCTTATTCAAAACCCGACATTGACAGCGACGATACCGAGTAGATTTAACCGTGCTGCTGTTGCCGTGAGAAGACACGGGTAGACTCACAGTGAATGTCTGTCCAATATCCAACCTAAAACCAACTTCACCGCAGTATTACATGAAAAAACATTTGTTGCCTCAGCTGGTTTTCTTCATGTGCACATGTGTCCCTAAATACATTTTACAATTCGCACACATCTATTTTTAGTCGCAAATGCGAGTGAAACGGTCGCACCGTCGAGCCCTGACATCTATATTTTACTTTACTTAGGTGGTGTGGTCTCAGGTCTTGGTCTGCAGACGGATCCTCTGAACCCTCTTAAGCCGATGCCACTCGGCAGAGCGCTGACAAGGGAACAGGAGTCCCCAACAGCAGCTTGCACCTTCCCACAGACTTCCTCTCCGACCCTGCAGGGCATCTCTATGCCTCTGATGAGTGGGATGATGGGGGCAGATGGCCTCACAGCACAAGGGGTGAGTTCTTCGGTCATTTCCACGATGCCCTCCCTCCAACTTTAATTTTGTTTAGCGTTGTATCCAAATGTTAAATGAGTTTTCCTCTTCCTCTGGCCAAAATGAATCACCTCTCCCCTCCCTGTCAGGTCTCCATTCTTGGCGATCCTCCCAAAGATGTGAACCATCCCCAGAGTGGCTTTCTCAGTGTCAACAACACATTTCCCTCAGGTGAGGCAAACTCCTCTCTCTGCAGTTCCAGGCTTGCTAGTTGAATTCTAGTCTTGTTTGCTGCATCATTTCAGGTATTTGGTTAATTTATCCCAGCATGTAAAGTATAACTGTCCTCCCCTACTCAGGAGGAAGCTGCAGACCTCACCCCTACAGGAAGAGGCCAACTCTTAGTAACGTGTCCAACCAGCACACCCACCAGAGCATCCAGCCAAATTACAACCTGCGCTACCAGGACTCCTACAGTCCAGAATATCCTCCTCTTCACCAGGTCAGCCCCACATTGCAGCTTCATGACATCAGGGTAACGTGTTAAATTCACAGCAGAGTGCCCGTCAGTTCAGTCCTTTCATAGCTGCTTCTCTAGGAACGAAAACACACCCTCACAAATCTCATACCTGTCTGGTGTTTCTCCTCAGGATCCTCTGGCTCACTTGTATGAACAGCAGGAAAACATTGATACTGGAGCCCTTGCAGGATTTGGCCACCAGGTAGTGTTAAGTTAACCATTGCAGGATTACAAATTCTGTATTTTGACCAAGTTTTAATGTTTACTGTAAACACAAATCTGTTTCAAATCTCAGTTATCTGTCTCTGGACTACTTCTTTGTGTATCTGTATCGTTATAAAAATACAATATTGTTCGACCCTTGAACAAAACCTGTTCTTATCAATAAGAACTGATATTTTATCTATCATAACTGACTTACTGTCATAGCTTGTCCCAGTAATGGACCCATCATGCCAACTATCAGACCCTGACCTGAAACCTCTGATTGTAACAGTTGTGATCTTCTTCTGTCGTGTCTGCAGCTCTCACGTCAGCCTGAATTCAGTGAGCGGTTTTCCCACTTCGGCTTCCCCCCCAGCCCTCCTTTGTCTTATTTCAGCTCTGGACCTGAAGCCTCAAGTACCGGCAACCTTCCTGCTACCCACCTCAACAGGGTAAGCCTTGCAGCTTTGGTCTATTACCGCTCCTTTTTTTTTCTTCTCCAATTAACTTCTGTTTTGGTTCCCAGCTATTGATCGCCTGTCGTTGTGTAAACATCAAAGCGGCGTTTGAGAGAGATAAAAAGTGGAGGGTCAGACTCCAGGAATATCTGCTTGTTCAATTATTAATGTAGCGCAGTGAGTGCATGATCCTCTGTTGGAGAGGTCTGGGTCACGGAGAGTTGCTTGTTTTTTCTTCAGGCTGTGGGGATGCCTCCTGTGAGCCACAGTGCCAACTATCCTCCAGGTCTCGGGAACGCTTTGAAGGTAATTTACATTTATCTTTTCTCTCTCTCTGCTTTTTCTTTTGTCGACTTTTCACATTTCTTGACCAAGTTGCAGTTCATTGATTTTTATCTTCTCGCTTTTAATCATTCACAGACTCCCATCGGCAGCCACAAGCGCGTCTTCTCCCGGCTGATCCCGTCTCCAGAGCCGAGCCCCGAGGGCAGCTATGTGGGTCAGCACTCCCAGGGCCTGGGTGGCCACTACGCGGACTCCTACCTGAAGAGAAAGCGTATATTCTAGTTGCGGTCGGGTGCTTCTTCATATATGAGTAGCCATTCAACAGCCAGGACACAATGGCATCTCCTCTGGCCTCCCCCCTAACTTGGTGGTCTTTTGGATTTGTCTCCTGTGTACTTCTGTGAGTGACCCCTGGAGGGTGCTGGAGGGGAGTGCAGCTTGCTGGGGCGTGCAGCCTGTTGCTATCTGGACAGTTGTGTTACTCCATGGAAATTCTTGGTGGTTGTTATTTTTTTTCGTTTGTGTGTGAGTGTGTATATATATATTTATATATAAATGATTTTTAGTGTGTTGGTAAAATAAGTTTTTTTTTTTTTTTTTTTTTAAATTTTTTCCTTTTTTTAAAAAACCTTTAATCTCTTGTTGAAAAACTTGTACAGTGAGAAAAAAATGGTTAAATAGCTGATGAAGTCTTTCCTCTTAGCGTTTTTAAATGCCAGTGTTGAGTGTGGTGTATCAGCAGAACCACAGATAGTTTGGCCACTTTTTTTTAGTGGCGGCCTGAGGCTGCTCTTTGTTTGACGACACACCTCAGTAACGTCTGCAATTTCAGGCAAAAGAACTTCCGTAGTGTAAAAACAAGCTGTACTTTGAGGGCTCCACTTTTTTAAGAGCCGTAGTTCCTGTAAAAAGTTCACTTCTTTGTATTCTGTGTTTTCGTTTTTGTGTTTCCCTTTTCTTTCCACAGGGTTGTATATTTAGCTGTTTGACTCCTCCTTTGATTCAGACCTCTTCTCATTGGTTAACATGCAGCTTTCCATCCACCAATGACAGCTGTGTGTTCCCGTTCTTTGTGTTATGACAGCGACGCTTCTTCAGCAGCTCTGCCAAACTTCTCTGTTCCACGTTTTGTCGTCCTTCGAGCCACACCCTCCGACATGTTTACAGTCCGTTCTCTACACTGGTTGTCTCGTGATGCACTTGGAGGGCACAAGTCACAAATCCTCATCTGTTTCTCACACCACTATGAGGTGGCGTTTTCGAGTCTCGTCTCACTTCGTGTGTCTTTCATTCGTTGACTATTTTCTGTGTTTTATTTGAGTTCAAGTTTTTTTAAAGTTGGAACTTGAATGTCTTTTGAGAGTCCGAACACCACACCTGGATTGTTGAGTTGGTTGGATGGGATGGTGGACTCGGGCTGTGTGCCATCTCTCGAGCTGCCAGTAGGTGGTGAATACAGGAACATTAACCATCTCTCCTCAGCCGCGGAAGCTTAACTCCGATTGAGTTTGCTTCTAAGGGCGAGTGAATGGCAGCTGGAGAGAGAGAGACTCAGTTTGTGTTGTAAGTAATAGTTGGAGTTGAGTCTGTGTGGGGGATTTAAAGATATTAATGGAAGCTTACGGCGGGTGATTGGTCAGTGACATGACTGTCCTGTTTTTTTTTTTTTATTATTTTTTTGGATTATATTTTTAGATAATTATCTGGTTGACAGTTTGATTGTGAAAACCCATTACCTCTGACTTCTGCTAGGAAATGCAGCTACACTTGAGCCTTAACTGTGTTTTCTGTGGTATCATCCTGCCCTGTGTTGGCTTCCATCTACATTAAGCATTTCTGTGTTTTTTTTTGCTGTGTAAATAGTTAAGAATGATCATTTCCTCCAGTCCAAATATTCTGTTTTCTTACCTGCCTCTGGTCTGGTGTTTTGAATGAATTTGCTGCTCCTCATGTTTTTTTTTCTTTTTCCCCCCCGCCTGTTTGTTTAAGAGCTGATGTGACAGAGTGGTGCCACAGCAGACTGCTCATGTTGTGTATGGACAAAGAGATGCAGCTGTAACGTATCACAGTCATCCACTTACACTGATTTGATTCTAACTGCTATCTTCTCATCTGTACCGCCATGGTTGTCTCTGTATGTGTGTGTGATGTGAGCAAGTAAATGTTATTTAAACTCATGCTGTTGTGGACCGGTGTTTTAAAACTAATCTGAGAGCTTTGTGAAATGTGATGTAAACATTTTGGGGATTAATAACAATGATTGTCGATAATTTACCTCAAACTGAAATACTTGGGTATTGCTGCAGTGTTTGGATCAACACTTTGATATCACCTCCAGGTGCATTTAAAAAATTTGAAAAATTGTGCGAAAGGTAAACATTGATGGTGAAACAATGACACTTTTCTGTTTAAAAGTTTGATAATTATGGCTTATAATCAGAGATCTAGTTTCTCAAGATCAGCAAACCATTACGCTATAGTTTTGGCGGTGTGGGTAGGTGCTAATATTGTGTTCGAGTTACCTTGCAAGTCAGATGTCCGAGCTGGGAATGACGTCACACACATTGTGTCTTGCGTTACAGTTATCAAGTCGGAAGAAAGCAAAATTGGAGGTGGAAACAAAATGGCTACATCCTACGAAAGTTATTTTAGCGCTTGCCTTGTCAGAATAGAAGCAAGGACAAGGCAAGCGCTAAAATAACTCGTAGATTTAGCCATCTTATTTTCCTCTCCGATTTTGTTTTTTTTTTTCAACTTGGTAACTCGGTAACTGTAATGCTGGTAACTCGGGTGTGACGTCAAAACAAAATCGAATATAAACAACGACAAGCCTTGTCCGGATATAGACAAGGACAAGCCTTGTCCGGATATAGACAAGGACAAGGCAAGCGCTAAAATAACTTGCGTAGATTTAGCCATCTTTTTTTCATCTCAGATTTTGTTTTTTTTTTCCGACTAATGCTGGGAACTTGGGTGTGACGTAATTCCCAGCTCGGACATCTCCCTTACGAGGTAACTCCAATGCAGCATGAATCTTGAAAAGGAAATTGGCATCACCATAATGTTTGTAAACAGATGGAAGTGGCCATAAAATTTCTTGGTAGATGGTCGTATTGACTTTGGACTTGATGAAACGCTTAACCAACACCAGCAGGTGACCCAGCACCTGAAATCATCACAGACTTCGCTTTGCGCTTAACACACCTCAGATTCAGGGACCTTGACTTCCATCTCAAATGTCAAACTTCTCTCTCTGGGGAAAAAAAAAGGATTCTGCCCCACTGAGCAACAGTCCAGTTCTTTCTCACTTCAGCTCAGGTTGTTTCTGACTTTGTCTCTTGATCAGGAGTGGTCTGACAGTCTTCTTGAAGATTTCTGGAGGTGGTTTGCTCTTGGTGCACTGACTCCACAAAGTTACTCTCTTTGACTTTGCAGAACTCTGCAAAAAGCCAACCCTTTCAGTAAGGACTATGCTGATCATTGTCCACCGGATGGATGACAGGTCAGCAGTCTTCCTTATGATAGTGGTTGTTGGTACTGATTGGACTAAAACACTTTATTTATACTTTTCAAATAGTAATTTGGACTTTAAATATTCTCAAACTTGGATTATTTTTTTTTTCATTTTCAGGCCATAACTATCAAATTAAAATAGCAAAAAATAACTTAAACCATTTTAGTTTCCATGCAAAAAGCTTAGAATAAATCTGACTCTATCACAATGATCAAATTTTTTTTAGATGCACCTATAAGATGCTAAATACTCTCAAAGTATCTGCAAAATAAACAAGCATGTTAACCGGATGATCTAATTTTGAGCGAGTCTTGTAATTTTTTTGAGTGGTCTGTTTGCTGAGTCCTAAGTTGCAAAAAAAGGACAGCCTCCAATATTTAACAGTGAAGATCTGCACATGTTATGACAGACCAACTAATAGACCTTTTATTTTTTATTGGAGTGAAACAGACTCCCTTTGATAAAGTCATTTTGTAAGATCAGAGTGTAGCAAGTTACTGTGGAGAGGAAAAACTTTCTTTAAAAGGCAGAAACCTTGAGCAGAACCAGACTCTCACACTTGGCCCAGGCCTAACCAGCCCCTTTTATCAAACAGAAAAGTCTTGAGCCTACTCTTAAAGTAGAGAGTGTATCTGCCTTGTCTGCTGAGTCTCCTGTCATCTTTTAATTGAGATGTTTTTTTTACAAAATTAGCAGCGGATATCTTCAATATCCTTGTAAGTGTTTCAGGATGTCCGTGATGCTTCATAACTGTTAATCTTTCCGCCTGAGCAGACACGTCCCTCATTTATCTGTTTACTTCAGCCACAGAGTGTTATCAGGAAGATGCAGGGGGTGTTTGCTTATTATTGCTGTGAGTGTGACCTGCATGAATGTTAAGCAGGTTATTATTGCTGTGAGGATGATATGTGCCCACTGATGAATAATTATTTAACAACAAACTCAGTCGGTTATCAGCTGCAGAGGCTGACAACAGATTCCTTAAGACAGGAAAACAACTGTCTAACTAAGAGGTGAATAAAATTATGTGTCTGGATATAAAACCTGACATGATGACATTTAGATTAAATTTAAACAGAAACTACATAATAATAGGAGTGTCAGCTACATTGTGTTTTCTGTCTCCGTGTTTGGACCCCGAGGGTAACAGAAGTTCAAATGAGCGTTTATCAGGAAGAAATGGAGCTTTTACTCGACTACCCTGGAGATTGGCTGTGAGGCAGTTTTAAGCTCTTTGCATTACTGCCCGTCACCCTTCAGACAGAGGTGTGAGGAGGCAAGAGGCAGTGAAGAGAGCTCCTCTTACCCCCTCAGCTACTATCAGCGCTGAAGTTTTGATTGAATGTTATTTTTGTGTTCCCGGTGAGCCCTAAGGAGCTGAACTTTTGATGGAGCTCTCTCATGCTGGGTAAGACATAACTGTAGAAGGCTGGTTTAAAAAATAAACCCACTGTTTTAGTCTTGTTTTATTTTACCACCAGTATAGTAGTGTTGTGTTGTTAGCAAACGATTAGTTCAAAAGAACCGAATCTTTTAAGTGAACGTACTGAACCGAATCACCTTCTTTTAAGTGATTCGTTCGTTTGTCACTCCAGTTGAGCTGTCAGTAGCGCAGCTGCTATAGACGGGACATCATTGCAGGTGTGTGCGCGCAGCCTTAGGGCAGAAAGCGGGACATTTCTTACTTGTTTACTAGCAAAGTCAACGGAGAAAGAAAATGACAAGGAGCTGTTGTGCTCTATACTGCACAAATCGGCAGAACAAACAATCAGCAAACATTACGACCCTGCTCCGGATATTAGAAACATCTAGAACAACGTCACAACCTGGTAAATTGGTTGCGCACGCACCTAGCATTGTTTGAACACAAGAAACCCGTCTGTAGCATGCAGCATTGCCAGGCGAACAAGGGGCCGTATGCGCCGACGCGTGAATCACTTGGTAAACGAATCACGCTTTGAATTACACTCTCTGGAATTATTTCTGTCGGACAAAACAACCTTTTTTTATTGTTTGTGCACAAGAAACCGGTCTGTAGCACGCAACTTGCGTACAATAGGAAATGGCATGTAACAAGTAGTGCATTAAACTCCGCAGCATCTTATCATTGCAGCGGTTTGCGAGGGAACGGTGCATTCTTCTAAATGTTCAGTGACAATAGGACTCACTGATCCCAATTAACCGAGCAGACCTGAGCATACCATAGGACAGTACACTAAAAACATCATGACTTTTTAACAAGTTCATTTTTACAAACCTCTTTGCCAAAGCGACACAGCCAAACACTCTCGTCTCCCAGTCCCAGAAGCTATGAACTGAACTGAATCCTGAATCGTTCAGTTGTGTATTAAGCTCCTCCCGCCAAGCGCTTTATGATTTGGTGAACGAATCCTTTGAACGAATCTCTTTAGTGAACTGATTCTAGTGATTCAGTACATCGAAAAGGACTGCTGTGCCCATCACTACAGTATAGAGACAATAGAAATGAAACACTGTGAAAAAAGACACCTTTTTAAAGCCATTATTATACCAATGTGTCTATCCAATCTGCTGCCATATTTGTTTGTAATGCTTCATGCACCCCTGAATTATGCTCATATACCTGCAGCCAGTCTACCCAGAGTTCTCAGAGAGATCCACAGAGGCTCGGTTGACGCTGTGTCAGACACATTTAGATTTCTGCCTTTCATATTTCCGCCCACACAGTCATCCCGCACAGTTGCTGGTGAATGCTGCTGAAACCTGCGATTTTCCCAAATACACAGCGGAGAGGAGGACTGGCTCTGATGCAGATAACTGCAGCATCATTTATCACAACTTACAGGCAGAAGAATACAAAGAAACTTATATGTCTACCTGTGCCTTTATGCATGTTGTGAAGCTGAAACGGTGTCTACCCCCCTCTTCTTTTACAGCCTATGTTTGCTAAACAGGAAAAGAGGCATAAAAATATACAGTTTCATTGCAATCTTCATGTAAAACATACTCGTAATTCACATGTGCCATGATTTATTGCAGCTTTATTCAGTATAGCAGCAACAAAATGTAACCAAATAGAAGATGTCACAAGCGCTGTTTATAGCAGGATTAGTCATAGAAAGCAGCCCACTCCCCACAGTGACAAACAGTCTATAAAAGAGGAGAACATCTCGATAGCCCAGGAGAAAGCTGCTGGTTTGCCTCTCGCTTCAAGAGCGGGGAGACAGCCTCTCAGCCTGAACTGTGCTCCTGCTTAAACACCAAACAAGATTATTTTACAGCAGGGATTTCAGTTCCAAGCCCGAACATAAACCGGCCTGAAATAAGCTCAGGTATTATTTTCACCTCCTTCTCCAGATGATCCTCTGTGTAACTTCATATCAGTGAGATCACGGAAATTAAAGCAGCAGATCTCATGAATCAGATCTTATTGTTCTGATGCACAAAGCGACATACCTGAAGACGGAGAATGCAAACTGTCTTTCTTGTAAGCCTCATTTGTACAATAACTCTCATTTTGACATCCTCTGTCGCAGTGACCTGATGTAAACCTCCAGCAGGCTGACGTCCATATCTTAAATAAGGCAGCAGCATCTAACACAACAGTCAGTATTTCAAATACGTGCGTACCCCTTCCTTCCATGCATTTGCGATCTAAAAATACACATTTATTTCATTCCGTTTGTGTTTGTGCTTCAATTATTATTCATTAACCTGTTTATTTGACAGGGAAAGTAAAAGCAGGCGTTGTTACATCTAATTAAAAATCAGTCGGTGTGAAAAGGTCTTCCAGCCATGTCCAATCGTAGTCCTTCTTAAACCGTAAACAAACAACAGCAAAGGAGACATAAAACAAGCCAACACATTTATACATAAAAAAAATGTGAACACAGATTAGTCACGATGTATATTTGTGAGAGTTTACAGCATCAAAAATGTGCAAGTTAAGGCTCACAGATTTGCCTTTCTTTAAAGCTCCTGTAAGGAACTTTTGGTTTGGATCAATTTTGGCGCCCCCTTGTGGACAAAGCATCCTGTACTTATCTTTCCCCTGCATGCTCATCTCTACAATCTCATCCTGCCAACTTGTGGCGGTCCAATTCAACATTTATCAATAATATTTTATGAGGAACTGGGAATCAAAGATGACACCTACCTATAAAAACTTATTTACTTTCTGTATCTCCATCTGATTAAAAGACGTTATGTGGTCAATGCCTAATGGAAAAATACATATAAACAATTTTTCACAGTTCAAGGTTAAGAAGTTGTTTTTATAGCTTGAGTGAGACCCCTGACGACGCTTATTCAAAGACTCTGCAGCCATTTGTGGTGTCCGATCCCACTGAGCATTTTTTGGTCTAAAAGAGGTCTAATAGACGTCTAAATGTAGTCTAGACAACTGGTCGAAAAACAGGCCACCACAGGTCTAAAAATGAACGTTTTTTAGACATCTCAATTTAGACCAAGTCTAAGTCTGGGCTATATATATACACTACTCTGTATATTGCTCAATGGCTATCATAATTATTTTGGTTAAGTACTTGGAGATCAGTTATGTAACGCACAGTTGCTTTTTGAAATAAATAGTTATCAAATAATGGGTTAAAGTGCAACGTCTAAATTCTGTCTAAAAATATACAGAATTTAGATGGTTGAAATTAGGTCTAAAAAAAAAAAAACTGATGTCTAATAGTCGTCTTGCTCAGCGGGATGATACATAAATGAGTGCATCATTAGCATACATGCATACGTACATGATCTGGCAGCAAATATCTTTACAGCTGTCACTATAGTAATGAAAAAGCAGATCAACTGCATCAAAAGAGCTAACTTTTAATGTCAGAATTTCTGGTACTTGGATCTGAAAACTTGGATCAACACCAAGTCAGAGGCTCGGATTGGCCCCAGAATTTATTGACTAATCTTGAAGATGCTTAAAGGGATATTCCAGCGTAAAGGTGATAATTTCTCTATCATTTCCTTGAAATAATAATCGCCAAGTTCTTCTGCCTTTGCATCTCAGTCTGATTGCATTTCCATAAAGAAGTGATTATAAATGTTCTTCCTTGAGCTGCGACACCCCGCTGCAGTCCGTAATGGACTGGCCTGAGGTCTCGCTGCAAACAAGCGGCTGCTGGAAGAGAGTAGGTGAGTTGTGTTTAGTCTCTTTACTAAAGTAATCAGGCAAAGCTAAAAAGATGTTTGGTGGCTAGTACTATGGCTGGGACACTTTATGTACTGTTGATGAAGTTAGGTG